CAATAAAATAACAGTAAACAAAATAAATACTTTGTACATAATATATATTTTGAAATAAATAAATATATATATATTTGTAAATTACAATTCACATTATAAAAATGTATCAAGCTGACAGATTATAGCAGCTCAATAAATATTGTTTATAAAAAATAATTACATTTACTTATAGTATCGATTTAAAAATGTTTTAATTTTATATATAAATATACCTAAATAGAATAATATTAAAATGATACACTGATATTTGAAATAATTATTTTTTTTTTACCTATTCTTTTATAAGTATCAATGCAATTCAATCAAATCAAGCAAAATAAGCCTATACTATTAGTACATAAATAAATTTATCGAAATAGAAAGACAAAAGGAATTTAAAATGCAGAAGGGGAAGGCACAGATGCGTCAAAGATCTACAACACGCAACTTTTTATTTGAGCTGAACAATTAAATATAAAATCGAGAAAATGTAAGATTATGTACAACGCATTGTTTCTATGTACAATATGGAGGTATTCGACGATTCAGGATCGCATAAAATTTATTTAAGGCTCTATCTTGTATAAATACTTATTTTATTTAAAGTCAAAGAAATTAAATGCATTAGAATATAATTACAGATGATTCCATAAAGTAAAATTCTAGAAAAAATATATTATAATATATACATATATAGAGAGGTTGATAAGACAACCATTGCAGTCTTATCAATCTAATCTAAAGAGGGCAATCCTAGGATAAATAACTATACTTAATAGTGGTACTAGTTGTGAAAAAAAAAAAAAAATCCAAAACTATACTGTGCTTTTGATCAGGTAAAACAAAAAATTCTTACCATTCCAAAATAAAAGAAACATGCTCATTGCCACAAGTTTTATTTTTTTTTCATGGGTGATAAATAGTAAACGATTTTTATTGACAATATTTCAATCCAAGCTTGTGGGTCATAATTAGGGCTAAAAAAAAAAAAAAAAAAAAAAAAAAAAAAAAAAAAAAAAAAAAAAAAAAAAAAAAAAGAAAAATGAAATAATGATTTGGTCCTGATGATGACCCACAAGCTATGGTTGAAACAATTGGCAATAAAAATCTTAAAAACTGACTGTTTATTACCCATGATATCTAGAACAGCTGATTAACTTCTTTCAACAAGTTTTTTTTTCTTCATTCATTTGTTAAATCACAAGGCCAAAAGATTTCCCCTGTACTACCCACCACAACAGTTGGAACATACTGATATCTCCAAGAAAAATTATATTCTGAATATATAGGGTGTCAAATAAGTAGAGGGAATTTAAAGGTTGGTGGTAGACATCAACATTTACAAAAAAATTCATATAAACAATTGTTCAATTTCCAGTAGAAAAGTAAGAAATTTAAGGTTTGTGTTTGATGCGTATTTGTAAGCGACAAACTTAATGTTTCTTAAAGGAAGGAGATAGTCCGGAGGCGGTCATAAATAGTGGTAAAACTATTTTATTGAAAGCTGACGTTTCTACCCGACTTTGCAGGTCTTCTTCAGGACTAGAACGGACAAGATACAAAAAAATAGAGATTATAGCATTATTCACATTTCAAATGTGAATATTTGAAATGAATGAATGTTCCAGTTCTAAGTGAAACTCCCAGCTGAACACAGCTAGTAAGTCTCTAATTTTATTCTTCCATTTTATTTACTTATTTATATAATTTTTGGTTTTCTTTTCTTTCTTCACATTCCTTTATGACTATTATTTCTTATTATATCCTATTTCCTTTTCTTTCAATCTCTCCTGTAGATGTATATTCACATTTGCATTTATTACATATTACACTACAACAATTGTTAGCATCTATTTACTTCAGTTTAGGATCTTGTTAGCTTATTTTGTTCGTATTTTAATGCATTTACTGTTCATAATTTTAATAAGCTTATTCACATCACATTGTTTATAAACTTTGTCTAAATATTATGTAACTGCCACAATTCTTTATCTTTTTGTATCTTGTCCATTCTAGCCCTGAAGAAGACCTGCAAAGTCAAAACGTCGGCTTTCAATAAACTAGTTTTACCACTATTTAGCCTATTTATGACCGCCCCCGAACCATCTCCTTCCTTTATAATGCAACGGCCAACTATTAAATATTTAATGTTTCTTACTAAAATTTATGTTTAAAATAAAGAAACCTACTGATTGCTTAAAATATTTTAATGAAAAGAAAAATATTAGGGCTAAAAACATTAAGTTTGTTACTTATAAATATATATCAATTCTAATGACAGAAATCTGGGAGAAAAACAATATTTCATTAGCACCTTATAGAAAAATTATTATTATTAACTTTTTTTATTAATATAAATAAAATGTGATTTTAGACAATTATGTTTATTACAATACATCCGATAACACGGAAAAACAATAAATAAAAGTTTTGCAACTGTTAATTGTCATCATTTTTGTTGAAAATATTGGTACTTGTAGGTGTCTGGAAAGAAAATCACATCATTTCTTTAAACAAGTTGAGTTGGATCTCAAAATCTTTCCTAATAAACCTCAACTTAATTAATATGGACTTAAAATGGAATGTTAAAAAAAAGTCACAAATAACTTATAACTTTTTCTTAAACAGAACTTAGCTGTGTTTGTCTGCCCAACAGTTGCCGTAGTCAAAATGTTTGCTCTTTAAATAGTTTTAAAAACGACAAACTCTACTTCAGTTTAAAGGAAATTTTGTCAAGTTTCCTCTGGAGCAATGTTAAATTACTTTAATAAAATATTTTTTAAGTTATCGCTTCCTATTCAACAAAAAAATGTGGCTCACATAAATCTCAAATTTCCTACCTTTCTACTCGAAATTTGGCAATTGTTTATTCATAGATCTTGATGTCTACTAACAATATTTTAAATATTTCGTTGTACTTACGGCACACCCTGTATAGCTCCAGGGTTTTTAGGGCACTTGTTTGTTATGTGAAAAAAAAAAAATACAAAAATAAAACAATAATTTATTATTTATACATATAATTTTTAAATATATTCAAACTCATAGTGATCACATAATAACTTAGTCAAAGAGAGTCCTATTGCATCGCCAGTGATGGCTCTACAAGATATGCAGATATTGTAGCATTCCCCAGGACCGGAAAGAAAGCACTGGTCTTGGATCCAACTGTTCGCTTTGAGAGCAATGACCTCAACCAGGCGAGAGAAGTAGAACAAGAAAATGAGAATATATACAATAAATGTATCCCTTTTCTAAAAGAGAAATCCCACGAGACCTTCGGGGAGAGAGGGGTCACCATGTCAGGACTCCCGAGGGATCAGCACCATCTATATAGTAATTAAAAGATAATTAAGGATATTTATTATCATTTATTCATTCGATTGGGAATGATCTTTTTGAACAAATAATACAAGATATTGTAAACGTACATAATTTTAATATAAATAATAACAATTAGAATTGACTTTTTTTTTTTTACAAAAATAAACATATTTTGTATAAGAATCCAAACTCACACACACACAAAGCCTAACAAGACCACAGAATTTTCAGGAACTTTTCTTAGACCAAATGCACACATGCTAATGCTTCCTGTGAATTATTTTACAAGAATTTCTTATCTTTTATCACAAAAACATAATGACTAGTGAGGGACAAAGAAGCAAGATCTCATTTAATGATTGAAATGACGAGTATTTGACGGGAAACAACAAACAATAAGCCTTACCAAAAAATACAATCCTATGTCTAAAAAAAGAAGTAAGAACATTGCCAGCGTGGCTACTAGACATTTAAAGTAAAATTCCCTGACTGTTCCCTATTAGATGATAGTTTTTCCTGACCAATATGTCTGTCGACACGAGTATTAAAAATGTAAATTATACATTTTTAATAACTGTGTAAATTTATTTATTATACATGAAAAAAACAAAACAAATATAATGTTTTAGAGGAAGCATAATATTTTAAGTAATTTATTTTTATCGCCTTAATATTATTTTCATAAAATGAGAGGAGATAAAAGTTGATACTTCACTTTTAACATTTAACGATGTCCACTGTATACTTTCAATTTGAAAAAAAAAAATATGTACTGAAAAAATTCTGACTTTTCCCTATTTTAAAAATTTCCTGACTTTTTCCAGGTAAGTCGCCATCCTGCTTGCATATATCCAATCCAGTTAATAAATTTATCGTATTAATTTCTTAATTGACACGATAAATAAAAGTATTTATATTAAATATTTAATTTTATTGAATAATTATTTTTTATTGAGGAAAGGATGGTCCGATTGTTTTATAAGGATGATTTTTTTGAGGGCCGGGAGTAATGGTCATAAAAATACTTAAAATGGTGGAAAAACTATTTTATTTTAAGACATTTCAACCCAACTAGGCAGATCTTTATAAGGGGTAGAACGGGTGAGATAAAAAGTATATGAAAAACAATAAACAGTGCAAATAGAAAGTATATAAAAGTATTAAGATAGTTAAAATATAAACAGAGTAAACCAGAAACTAAAATAATAATGTAAATAAAATGGTAACAATAAATGTAGATAAAAAAGAATTGAATATAATAAAGAGGATGGATGATATAAGTAATCATGAATATAATATCACAAATCTAAAGGAAAGATTAAGTATGGAGAGATGAATTAGATGGAAAACTAAAAAAAAATAATAATAATCAAAAAATGAACTTAAAAGGGGTGTGAAGAAAGTGAAATCTCGCCACAGAAAAAGTGTAATATTTAAATATTATTGATCCACAAAATTAAAACTTTAAACTTAAAAAATAAATGAAATGTAAACCAAAAATAAATTTATAACATTAGCTAGTAAAAATAAAAATTGCATTTATAAGTAAATAGTTAATTGGTACAAAATATACTTATAATAGAATAATATATTGGTAATTTAGTAAAGCATCGTTTATCGAAATACAAAATTAAATTTATAATTGATTACAACATTTATGAATCTTTTTAAATATATTATACAAAGAGGAAAATTTGTGTTAAGTAGCAGGAAAGGGAAAAAAAAAGGGTTCAACACAACGGTTGAAATGACAAACAATAGAATCACAAATATGCTAACCTAACCTTAACAAAGATTTTGGGCCAAAAATAATTTAAAATTATTATTTTAGCTATAAATTTACATTAACGACGCTTCAATTAGATAATACGGTATTCACAACAAATAAGCGTCTGTAAAGACCTGGATAGTTGGGTCAAACGTCTTAAAATAAAATAGCGGTCTTTGAAATGAAATGAAAAACTTATTTTATTCTGGGACTACTGTCCCCTAAGAATAATAACAGAGTTACAAATTTATGGATCTTAGTCTGACATAATAAAAATACAAACTACTTTACTGTTAATTGCTATTTCAATTGTACAATAGATTGAAATTAAACATTGTACAGATGCAAGTAATTTTACATGTTAGGGGAAGTTTGAATGTGGAGTAGGTGTTGGAACAGGAGTTGTTTGAAGGAATTTGTGGACAAGAATTGACGCATGGAGGTAGGAAGTGAGTTCCATAAGGAAGCAGCACGAATGACGAAGGATTTGCTGAAGGAGGAAGTTTTATGGGAGGGAATATATAAGTCTATAGGTTGAGACCTAGTATTGAGAGAGTGGATAGAGGAGCGTAAAGTAAGGAGTTCCAGGATGTGGGGAGGGTTTTTGGTTCTGAAGACTTGGAAAAGGAAAACAACAAGGAGGAATTGTCGTCGGGAGGTAGGATAAAGCCACTTCAACTCGGTGTACCAGAGCGAAAAATGTGAACGCCTGGGGATCCTGAAAATGTATCTTATGAAACAATTCATGAGTCTCTTTAGTCTTTTGCACATTAACCCCCCCAGTTACTTTTTAAATAGGAAAAAGTAACTGTTATAGAAAAGTATCAGTTACGTTTCAATCAATGTTGTTATTCTTCTATAATAACAACAGATTTATCTGTTAACAGAGATTCATTTAGTTAGCAAAGTGAAATACTTTAGGTTATACTACAGTTTGAATAATGAAGAGATCACATGTTTTTAAGATTTAACAGGAATCATGTGTTTAGGTTATAATATTTTCTCGACTGTTTATAATTTATATTTTCTGTGGATATTGAGATTCAACAAAACAAATCACAATATTGTTTTCATATTCACAAATATTATTTATATATACTGACGGTTTATTGTAAGTATACTACGTGTATTTTTGATATAGGTTAACTTTCAAATGTTTAGGATATACTCTATTTTGAATAACAAAGAGAAGTAAGGCTTTAAGTTTTATCAGGATATGTGTTTTCTTTAATTATATAAAATATCATCTGTTAACAGATGTTTATATAATAGAAAAATAACAATATTGATTCAAATGTAACTGATCCTTTTCTATAATAGTTACTTTTTCATATTTAAAAAGTAACTGGTGAGGCTAATGAGCAAAAGACCCTAAATTAGTTTTTACACTATATTACGTTTTTTTGTCACCACCATTCCCGGACCATCTCTTTCCTCGATATTATCCTATGGTCAATCATTTAGTATTCAATATAATTTTTTATTTATTCTCATTTATAATATTTTCCCTGAAAACTCTCCGTAATTCAAAAATCTCTCTGCAGCAATATATTCGAATCACAGAGATTGCACTGTATATATTTTTTTTTGTACAATGTATAACAAACAAGTACCCTGTTTTTCATTTATCGTGGTCAAATGATGTGGCTAATATCGGTTTCAATTAAACCACATTTTTTGAGCAGTGTCCCTTCCATTTTGGATAGGTGTAATAGTATTGCATAGCTCAGAAGCTAAATAATAAAATCTGTGGATATTATTAAAGTTAAATTTTGCATATAGAAAATAGTTTTCAAATCGCTTGTTTTAATTTTTTTTTTGTTTTGCGGTTTGCGAAAATGCAGCTTTAAATGCTCACCCTAGTAGACTTAATGTTTTGATTACACATTGCAACTTATAGAAACAAAAGGAAAGTTTAAGAATTCCATAATTATAATCAAATATAATTTTAAACTGTCTTAAAATTAAATAAAAAGTCATACATATTAAACTTCTTGTCACTCTGGAAGACATATAAAATCTTTAAAAACAATATATTTTGATTGATAAAATTAAAAAAAAATTAACAAAGATAAAATGGCTTTTTTATAGCACCTTACAGCCACAAATTTAACTTATAATTAAAAATTAAGTCTTTCGTTTTTTTGACTATAATACATTCACACGAATAAATATATATAAAAAATCACCCAACAAACTAAAAATAAGAGATAGGATGTTAAAAATCGATAAAAAAATTAAGTTAACCTCATAGAGGCAAATGAAGTAAAATCATTAGGACTGTAATATAACCATTGTCACCAAACCTAAAACAAAGAAATAAATAAAATTATAAAAAATTGAATAATAAGAGGGTGTTGATAGAAAATTTTAAGAGATGATATTACCGAGTACATATGCCAAAACCAGCTTCATGTGGCAAGACAGCTGAATCGAAAACCCGCCGGCTTCATCTTCATTTGGCATCAACAGGCCAGTGATGCATATAAGTCCAATGATGACAATAAACGTGTTAGGGCCGCTCCTTCCTCTAACTATAAAACAATAAAAAATAAGTTAGAATTAAATACATTATAAAAATTGTTTCTATAGCTTGCCTAATAATAATTATTAGTGTTCGCCCAGTGGTTGAAATTCGACCTTAGCCATTAAAAATTTGAGGAAAAGATATAATTAAATAAAAAATAAAGTAAATAAATAAAGAGTAAATCACGATTCAAAAATACTCATTTATTAATAAAAATAAAATTTCAATTTCAATTAAAAGTGGAGCTTAAGTCATTTAAATTTTTTTATAAGTAATACAAAATATACTCATTCAAAAATATTTAATTTTCATTTTAATTTATGTGCGTTATTATAACAATAAATTAATGTTATGATTAAGCAAGTAAAAAATAAATTTAAATTTACTTTAAATCCATTTTTATTCAGAACTTCTATGTCAATAATGTTCTTTTTGAATGTTCTGTTATTGTTTAGTGCATAGCCATGCCCATTGCCATTGAAAATATAAATTTCAATATTTTAAATGAACGTACTCTAATTGCTGCCACATATAATTGTCCATGTGAAATTACTGGACTTCACAATAATATACAAATTTTAAAAAAATTTTTATCCTGCGATTTGATTATGGTCATAGCAAACGCAGCTATTAATAGGAATGTTGTTCTTTGAAAGTCGAATGTAAGTATAGTGTCAGAAAATGTTAAATTAATTCTTGGAATTAAAATTCTTTAATTTAAAGTAGCCCCCATTAATACTTCAGTCTCATTCTTGTTCCATTAACTAATGCTTGGGCAGTATTTAAGTTAACAATGAGTATAACTATAGAATATATTTTTAAATTTAATTTATTAGGTATCATTCCACCCATGATATCATCTCTTCAAATAATAGACCCAATTACCTCAGTAAATGAAAAGTTTTCAATTTATCAATAAACGAAATAAAAGTAATCGAATTTGGAAGGGAAAGAAAAAGTACTAAATGTTTAAAATGATGTATCTCGGCAACAAATAGTCCGATTTCTATGATTTTTTTTTTGTTTTGTAGGAAATCAAGAAAGCTTTCAAATAAATACTGGAATTATCGGTAAAAAAATGTGTACTTTTTGAGTTATTCGCAAATAAAATACTGAATTCATCATAAAAATATATGCAGCTTGTTTTCGGGAAAGTATGTTATATATATAAATTATAAAGGTTTCAAGGGTTTCAAGCCAAGTTTCATTGAAATCCTTGAAGCCGTATTGGCGCTACATTCTAAAGCAAATCACGTTTTTCGGCCGCAATTTCGAAAGGAAAGGCCCGGTGATAATGAAATGTATACATAAAAAACTTCTAAATATTATTGCGACGTTGTGTCAAAATTTAAAAGAAATCGGTGAAGAACTTTCGGAGATAAGCAGTTTTGAACAAACTACCATTTATATTTTTATTCACATACTATTTAATATTTTTATTTATTGATAACACTAAAGCTCGTCAATATCTATTAAACAAAAAAAGAAGGAAGAAAATCGGTTGAATAATAGAGGAGTAACCGATTTGTGTTTGCATATTTATATAATGATGATTAGTATTTTAACCACCTTACAAGTTATTGTATTAATAGTATTGATGATAAAATAAAAAATTAAGACAATGTTACCTGTGAGTTCTCTAGCAGAGCTCTCCCTGAACGACTGCCGCGACTCTAAGCTGGATCTTTCAGAGCTCCTGGTTTCATCTAAAGTTTCTAATGAATCAGGAAGCCCTGAATTTAGTGTAGCTGGGATGTCTTTTCTTCCTAGCACCTTACAAAATAAAATAGAGGTAATAAATAAATAAAGATAATAAATTAAGTAAGTAAAATGAGTAGTGATATCTTAATAAACCTTTTTAGTGGAGTATTCTAATATTTCCACTCGGAATTTGTCAGACACATTGCAATTAGCAGGTCTGACCTCCTTATGGCGCACGACAATGTCCAATGAACAATGGGGTTTTATGGAACCCTCCGAGTCCACGACATTATACTTATCAGGTGCGGTGCTTAGAACTGCAATAAGAAATACATCATATAATTATGGATTTTTAATTTTTTATTTGTCGCATACTATTTCAAGATTTTTTTATTTTAAAACTAAACTATTTTATAATAATTGTTATATTCTACTTAAATGCATATTTAGTAATACATCAGAACAAATAAATTAACCATTGTTAAATTATTAAGAATGATAACTTGTAAGATGGACAATTCAAAAAAATGTTATTCACCCAAAAATCAAATTTGCATGTTATATACCTCAATACTTATAAATAAATTACACTATATATATCAATGATCACTACATAAATCTAAATAATTAATTTATATATTCTAATTTTGAATATTTAGAATAAATTAATTTCTTAAATTTGGTATTAGTGATTTTATAGAAGTTTTCTGATCGGTCACCTTCTAAACTTAACTTTGGTGAATTCAGAGGTTTATTTTTTTATTGCATCAGTTGATATTTTTTCAATTGTTATAAATATTATTTTAAAACTTATTTGTTTAAATTATAAATTTTAGGTCTAGTGTACAGTTGCTCTTTCTGTGGTAAGAAGTATTCACACTCACGGAGTCTCAAAAAACACTGGAAATATGAATGTGGAAAAGAGACACAATTCCAATGTCCACATCGAACAAAAGTGAAAACCAATTTGGAAGCTCATATTATTGTTAAACATGTAAAATAAATCAGAGTAAATAACTATTTTATTATTCACCCGTATAGTTTGTAATTGCGTAAGATTTGTAATTGGTGCCCCGAGATACTGCCATGTCTCTCACCACTACACAGAGTTAAAGTAACTCTTCTCCTCCATTCGAAGACAATATTTCATAGGTACGTTCGTATATAAAATCATCGTCCTTCTTACGCCTACAACCTTCTCCAATTCAAGTCCTCAGTCCATTCCTTCTCACAGATCTGCCTCATTCCAAAACTCTTTTATTGCTCGCTCTATTAATTTATGGAATTCCCTTACTATCAAAATTCGGCATTCCCCCTCCCTATCTACATTTAAAACTCTCCAATTCCAATTTCCGTCCCAAAAACAGTCAGATACCCGCTAAACTTTTATTTAAAATTACATATTGTTCATAATGATGTATTTACATTATTATTCATCACTTAAAAACTCAGACAATTTTTACTATCAGATTCGGATTTCTTTTTCTTTTTATTTTACACATAAACACAGTTTATTTCTAAGGAGAATGTGATGTATTTTTTATATATTTTTTCTAAAAGTATATATTTATATTTTACCACTGTACATAGTTTTAAGTGTCTTGGCATGGTTTCAAGTGTTTTGTATATAGATTTTTTATTTATTTTGTAAATAGTATATTCAACTACTGTTTTCTTTACTTATTTCTCTTTATTTTTACATTTGTTTTTATTTAGTCGTTATAATATTTTAATTTTGAAATTCTAAAGGGGCTTTGTCCCAAAATAAAATTACTTTCTATCCTATTATATTTGTAATTAGAATATATAATTTGGTAGGAAAAACTTTCATTTACACTAAATTATTTAATTAGAATAAAATGTTGTCAGCAGTCGTTTTAGTTTAACAGGAGAGAATAAAACATTCTTTTTTTTTATAATTAGAAATAATTTTAATCAAAAATGTATTTGATATTTCTTTGCTTGATACTTTTTTCTCTATTCACCATCTTATTAATCCTACAATAATTAGCACAATATCCTAGTGATACTTGATAGAGTTAAGTTTATAGAAGTTTTCAGTTTTCTTCTTTTATTCAATAACAGTGCAAGATATTATCCATTGGTTAATGGTAACTCAATACTGATTGGGTTAATCTCACAATTTCCTGAATCTATTTGACATATTACTTAGAAAATTAACAATCTACCTGTTAAAGCACAAGTGGTTTATCTTTTCTTATCAAATAAAAATAAATTTAAAACCCAAAGGAAGTTAAATAAATGCCAGCCTTATAAATTATTTCAGTGTATTTTCTGAAATAGTAATTTAATTAAATGTCAATATTTTCAAATTGATTTAATTTATTAAATTGTTATTCTGAAAAGTCAGATTTGATACTGTAAAGTATAGTAGTACCAATGGGAATTATAATTGGTAAATTGTAAATATTTAAATTTCATGTGTAGTTAAGTTGGACATATTGTTTTTATTTTATTATATCCAAGTTTTATTATATTAAGTGTGCTAAGTAAATATGAAAATTAATAGAAACAATGAAAAATAAATTTAAGTGGAAACTTGGTTTGGTTGGTTGTTGCTATAAATAAATGGGCACATAAACATTTTATTTTATTGTAATGGCAATGAGCAAAAAGACAAGGCATGATCAATGTAAGTATATAATTATGCATGAAAACAAGATTGTCTATAATTCATGGACATATCACAGATACTAAATCAATCCATCCTCTTTTTTAAATTTTTGATATATGAAATATAAAATATGAATAATTTTAACCAATATAAGAATAAATTTTAATCAATTTTTATTTTTTTAAATAAATACAAATCCTAATACTTTGGTGATCTTGCCAGGATTAATTAAAATATAAAAGTAAAAATCTTTAAAAACAAATATCTTCACATTATTATATTTGTTTTCTAAAGATATTATGCTATTGAAAATTAAAATTTTAAAATGTAAAGGTGAGTGTGTTTGTTTATGTTTATTTTATTTAAAATTTAATATTACTGTTTTGCAAATACAAAATATTTCTTGGTTAAAAAAAAAAGGATTATATTTTCTAATTTTATAAAGCACATACCTCTGAACCGTACAGCTGTTTCATAAACGTTGTAAATTGTTAGTACTTGCTTATGAGATTTTTGGTCTCCCATATAAAAATTTATCGTATTTGGGAAAACAAATACGGGAGCTAATGCAGAAGGGACAGGCTGCATCCCATAAAAAAGGGTTCACCCTGAAAAAAAAATTAAATAATAATTAAACTGTTACATACAGTTAATATTTCAACTGAAAAACAAAATAAAAGTTTAAGGATAATTCATTATTTATAATTAATTCTGGAAACAAATAAGTAAGGAAACAACGTAAACTACACAAAAAATAAACACATCAGTGTATAAATAAACTAAAACAATAATCTATATCTATTATAATTGATACATAGACCTAAAACTTTGAACTTAAAAAAAAATGAAATGTGAACAAAAACAAATTTATAACAATAGCCATTACAAATAAAAAATAGATTAATAAGTAATTAAATTTGATATTAAATATAAATAGTCAATTGGTATAATCTACACTTACAATAGAATAATATGTTGGTAATTTATTAAAGCATGGTGTACTTAAATACCCGAATTAAATTTCTTATTTATAAAATAAAATTATTAGTTTTTTTAAAATGAACTATTAAAGAGATAAATCCATATCAAATGTCCCCATGTCAGTAGCAGTAGAAAACAAAAAAGATTGAACGCAAAAACGTTGACGTTTTGAATGACAAACAACAATCACAAATATGCTTACCCTAAACACAAAGACTTCGGGTCAAAAATAATTTCAAATAATTATTTTAGCAATAACTTTACATTAACAACGCTTCAATTATATAATATACGATACTCACAAAGAATAAACGTCTGTCATTCGGATCCTTAAGGAATATTGGAAATTATAAAGCAGAAATTCAAAACCCGAAGCCAATACGTACGCACTGAAGAAGACTACAAATCGTCATTTGTAATTTGTAGAGAGAACAGCTGTTTTTTATTAACATTTACTTACCACCTGATTGGCTACATTTTCCACCAATCGGCTCGCGGAGGCGGGATTGTTTATTTCCTTCTTTTGACTGTTATACTTTGATTACGGAATTTAACTATCTTCGGTTGCAATTTAATTTTTAATTCTTCGCGGGCCATGATAATTCTTAAACAACATAAACTTCCAAGAGGTATGCTTAAGTTTTTAGGAAATAATTTCTATTTTATTGAATTTTTAGTATGAAATGAATGTTTGGGTTTATTTACTTTTAGCAATTTTAATGAGTAATACAAATTATAACATTTAAAGGTTTACTTCTTGGAAGAACTGAGATGAGGAATGAGTGATTCAGATGATACAGATGTCCTCCTTCTTGCAAGACCAAGTATTTTCATTGAAGACAATACAGGAGTCGATCCCTTGGCCTCTGTGGAGATTGTTGATAACCTTATAAGCCATTTAAGTGAATTGGAAACTCGAGTAAGTATTATAGAAAGTGTCAGTAGTCCACGTTCCTTTAAAGATTATAGAATTACTTCACCGATGGTCCTGAATGATCTTGAAACAAATTTAGAACAGTCTATGCCATCTGTTGCTAGTGATGAATTGCAAACTCGAGTGAACTTGATTGCATCCCCTTCAGATGACCAATTAAGAACACCCACTCTTATGTTAAATACTAGTGGTGTTTGTTCAAATACTGAAAGTTCTAATGATTTGACTGCTTTATATGCAAATGATCCTCCAAAATATAAAGAATCTCTTTTGAAAGAGATTGACACATATTTGAATAATGTGAGTACAAGCAGACCCAATATGGAGTCAGATTTGTTTAATATTGATAGGAATAAAGTGATGATGAGTAAACCAGGTGATTCTGTAGCGGACAGTATTATTAGAAGAACATCTCCAGATGATAGGCTGGATCTTCCTGCTGTGGACAAGTTGTTGAGAGAAATGGAAGCTACACATCAAGAAATTGAAAGTAAGCTGAAAATGCGAGAAGCAGAGTATGGTTTTCTTAATCAGAAGTCTTTTAGTAATGTTGGCCATAGAAGGAGCTTTCCTCTGGGAGATAACAATTTAGTACCAGATCGAAGGAGTGGTTCTTATGATCACCATTCTTCTCCTTTGAAAAGTAGTGGTGAGGTAGATAGACCAAAAAGTTTGGAAGACCTTGCTGGAAAAAGAGATATTTATCTTGTTGGTAGCAGCCATAACAGTGATAGTGACGATGCCAGAAAAAATAATGATATTCCTGATCCTAATAGAAGAGATCCTTTCAAAACCACCTCAAATTTAGAAAACAGGCGGCGTTTTCCGTCACCAAGAAGACGCTTATTCGCTCAACCAGAACTTTATGGGAGCAGAAAAATAACATCAGGAGCTTCATCCTCAACGACTCATGACCAGGATGTTCAAAGGAGGAGTCATTTCCCCCATTTTGGAGCTGGAGATGGGCCTCATCTCTCCTCTCCTAGAAAAATGGCGGAGAGTAAAATTCAAAAGGAAAAACTTCTAAAGCATCAGTATAACAGGTAATCTCAGTTTACAAATTTCATTTTCTTGTTGTTTTATTAATATATTTTACTGATAATAACACTTATTTTGTAGGAACAATTTGCTAAGTTTAGCAGAATTATGGAGAACTGAAAGAGATTCCTCTGACGAAGATTCAAAAAAATTACGTCAAAAACTGGAAGAAGAAAAACTGAGACGGATTGTAAGTTTGTGAGAAATTTTATTATAAATTTGTATTGTCTATACATTGATGTAGATGTCATGAAGATTTTGATACTTAACATGTTCTACATATGAAACTGTTACATGTTATAAACTTCATTATTTATTATTTTCTTTATCATTATTTTTATATCCACTCCGGTCACTTGCCTTGGAAAAGAAGCGGGTATGATATTAATGTAACAGAAGAGTGATTTTCTCAAAATTAGGCATTTTGTGTCCAACGTTCCTAGTGTGACTCACATTAACATTTTTAAATGAACCTAATATATGTCATAGATTACAACTTTATTAATTTTACTAAACTTCATTATTCTTTATCATTTACCTCCCCCCCCCCCAGTTTTCGTTCCTTTGGCCTGTCCATGATTGTGCTTTTTTTATTTTCTTCAGCTTATTTAATTAAAATTTGTAGCAATTTTCAAACCTTTTAAGGTAGGAAAATGAAAATCTTGCAATTTAATACTTTATGGTTATTACTGTTTCTAGCCTAGAAATACCGGTAGGTTTTCCCTGAATTCTTCCCACTGCTGTTTTGATTAACACCTAATTTTTTTAATTTTTTTTTTAATGGAAATTAACTTGGGGTTTAGGAATGATAGTTTTTAGAAAATAACTGTTTTTTTTTTTAATGACAACATTTTTTTAATTGAGAAGGACATTACAAGTGACAAGAATTTGTGGCTTATAGTTATTAGTTTATAAAAAAAAAAAAATAATAATTCATTTAAACCAACTAGTTATTCCTATCCCTAATCGTGTCTTCATTCCTTATCATCATTCCTTTGTGGTCAAACATCATCTTATAACAATCCAAATTTAATCATTAAGAACTAAATTATCCATTCATCTTTTTTAAATAGATGGGCAAAGGTTTTTTGTAAAAGATAGGTGGGTCAAAACCTATTGTAACCAAAATCCTCATTTCTTTCTGTCATTCATTCCTTTACCATAATTTTTTTAATACTTGGTTAACAAATAATAAGAAGCTTTACAAAGGAATACGATTTTAAGATTTTCTATTAAAACTCTGGGTCCTGACAAGTCATTCCTCCTCTCCTCCATCTCAGTCTCTATATTTGATTCTCTTACTTTTTCCTAAATGTGACTGGCTATCGGAGTGAGATTTGAAAATATTAATATATTTAAAAATCTTAAATAAAATAATATCTTAATGGTGTGGAGTAGATCGTAACCTCTTCTGAAAATAATACCTTTTTTTAATGTTGATCAGAGATTAGAATATAGACCAGGCCTGTATTATATTTGAAACTGCAGTATAGCAATCTGTATTATAGTGGGGGCTATATATAATTTAAACTTCAATGCACCGTACCAGGATATAAGTATTAATTAATTGATTTTTGTTTTATTCTATGTGATGGTATTTTTCTATATTTGGGAAAGATGAAAAAAAACAAAAACAAAAAACGGAAAACTCTGTTTTTCAGACTGTTTTTATGTTCTTATAAGTTTAGGATTTTTTACCATTCACAGTCTCTATTTTATTTTAAAACTTTATTTGTAGAGAAGCTTTTGTTATCCGTGCACCATATTCATCTCTATAATTATAATACTCCAATTAGGATAAATTAACAGTTAATTAATAACATTATAAATATATATATTACATCATTTTGTAAATGTCATGCAATTATTATCAGATCATGACCATACCTTTTATTAGTTTTGTCTATTTAAAGAACATAAAGGATAAGAACAGTGTTCTAATTCTTCGTCTCATGTCAACTTTCTCTGAGAATAGAACTCCTCTTTGTCAAACACCATCTTACTGAGTGCTGAGGATTTACTTTAAGTTACCCTACCTTATTTAATTTACTATTATTTGAATTTTTATGGATGGCTAGTACATATTATATTACCGCTTCCTATAAATTAAAATATAAAAATTTTGGATTCTTATCTTACTTTTATTTAATCCGTAGAGAAAATCAGGTTCTGGTTTTTTTGAACTTTTTAAAAAAATGTAATTAAAATTCACTTCTAATGTGTTGTTATCCTAAATCATATAGTAAGCTAATTTGTCAAACTAATCAGCAGTTCTGTAAATAAAGTAAATTTTATATATATAATAGCTTTATGCATCTTAATAAGTTAATTTAGGGTTAATTAAAAAACAAAAGGTTTTTCTAATCTGTTTTAGCACCTTGAAAATACTATACAAGAGTTACAGCGAAGGGTTCTTGAAGAACAAGAAAAATTGGCTGTTGCAATTAAAGTTGACGAAGGGAAAGATAAAGCGATCGCTCAAATAACTGAAGCATGGAAACAGATGGTAAACCATTGGAGGGATATTGAATCTGATAGGCATGCCATGTCACAGGTTGTTATCAAAGAAAGAACTGCGATGAAACAAGCCCATGAAGAAATGAATAAGGTAAATATGATTTAAAAGGGTGTGGTAGATGAAAAAAAAAAATTTGTACATTTTTTTTTAAGTTTATGTTGTTCTGATTTATGTCTGTGATGATACAATAAATCTTTATAAATATTGATATTGAAGATTTTAAAAATATTTAATTTCTTGCCTTGAAAAATAATATTTGAATCCAAAAAAAAAAAAACATTGTGTAATGAAGTATTTTATTTAAATCTATGATATTTTAATGACTTGAAATTTTCTGGGCTTTAAACTTTAAACTTCTCTTGTTTACGAATACAAAAATTTGTCCTAGTTAAATACATTCATATAAAATGATAAACCTAAAAAAATTGGTTTTAATCAGTTATTATAAATATCAGCTGAGCTACTTTATATGATAGTATCAACTAATGTCCTGAGCATTAATCCAGAAAATGTTCATTATTGACTTCTTAGTCTGTGGTACAGACCTATTTTTATCAAATTATTGACATCCACCTGAACTTCTTGAATAGCTTCATTTCATCGTAACCTAAAACTATTTTATTTATAAGAATTCTTCGAATTGGGGCATTTTAAATCTGGAGAAAGACAAACTCTTCTATTTAATTAGGTACTAAAAATTTGCTTTCCACTTGAATCAGAAGAAAATGTGATAAAATCAAGAAAAAAGGTGACCTACAAAAACATTGGGCTGTTTGGCCTAAATAACCTCGTTATTTTAACATGTTAGTAGTGGAGGTCATGCCAAATGGCCCAATATTTTTGTATGCCATCTTTTTTATGGACATTGTGATTAAGTTATCTTATGACTCAAGTGGAATGCAAATGGGTATTTATGAGTTTCTACTACCTACTACGAGTTTTTAGTACTTAATGAAATAGACAAAGTTTGCCGATCTCCAGATTAAAAACGCCCCAATTCTGAGATTTTTTATTAATAGAAAAGTAGTGGGTTACAATGAGACTGACTGAATAATCAATTATACTTACTAATTGAGGATATACAGGACAAAGAATGTATGCCAGCAGAGTGGAAAACAAGCTTAATCTACCCTATACATTAAAAGGAATACGGGGAATATTGCTTTTAGTAGTAGCCTATAAAGTATTCTCCAACGATTTTGATTAAATTCGGTGTATCGTTGTTTAATTAAGTGGTCTTTAATATCATTTAGGTCTTATCCCTATTAATGTCACTTTACAGGGCTTAAATGTCCAATGTTCATATACGTCCTCCTCTAAAGTACCTTTAATATGGTTTATTTAAAAAAATGAACTCTCTTTTATTGACTGTAGCTATAAAAAATGAATAAATATGAAGTTTGAAAGAATATGATAATAAGAAACTGGAGAAAAAAAAGAAAAATGCTTATCCAGGTTGAAAATGAATCTCTGGAAATAACAATTAGAATGTATACGTATATTATATCATTGGAAAGCGGAGAATTTTACAAAAAATATCAAGTAAATAAAGTTGTAGAAGGTAACGAAAAAGGTGACGAAAAAAATATAAATAATAATTTCTGAAAACTAACATTATTTAACGTAAATAACCTGTTTCCAAGGAAATTAAATTAAATTTTCTTACTAAATGTAAACTTAAAATTTTTTTATGTTTGACAAAAAAAAAAAACATTTAAAATCTATCGAATGAAGACAATGGCATTGTTTAAAATACTATTTCATTCTACTTTGTGATAGAAGAAGTGAAGTAAAAAATATTTCATGGATATGATTATAACCTTAAATACATTTACTGTAGTTTAATAATTCTAGATAAGATATTATATTTAAATAATTAGGTATCTATCATCCGTTTATTCCGAAAAATCATCTAGTGCACCTTTTAGAAAATTAACTTAGTGAATAATTGATTAATTTTCCCTTTCTGAGATCCCAACATTGGCCACTTACAATTAGTGTGACAAGTTTCGGCCTATCCATTACAGGCAATGAAAATCACGTAATTTCATTTTAATAAACTTTACAATGTAAAATAACAGTTTAATAACTAATAGTCGTACAATTCATAATCATTTATAGGTTAAATATTTAGCTGTACTTTCAAATCTCTCTATGCGCTTTTCAGTTGACAGAATGACTAACTCCAATTTCAATATTTTTCATTATTAATTTTAATAATGTTTTTAGCGGAAAAATTTATAACTTTATTCACAGTTCTATATTTCAACATGCCAGTCATCTACTCTGGAATATACTTACTCACTGTCTGTGTAGATATAACTTTTTCAACTAGAAATACCACTAAAATTACATTACTCGAAAATGTTGAAATTGGAGTTAGTCATTCTGTCAACTGAAAGGCTCAGAGACTGAAGTTATGTGGCTTATAAAAGCAGATGGAGTAAATAGATTTTTATTGCCTACGGTCGATGTAATAAATAGACTTTTTGTAATTTTAATGGTCTTAATGATTTGTTATCTGTAAGCTTTAAGCTTTAGTTCCATTTAAAATGCACTTCATAAATTTTATAATAGCCCAACATTGCCAGATTCAAAGTAGAGCGGTAAGTGAAAGTTGTGTGTTGCATCCACCAGGTTTTTTTATATGTTATGATAATTTGATAAAATGAATTCTGTACCACGGACTGTCTATTTCATGATCAATATTTTATTAAAAATTTCTCTTTATATTTTTCTTTTTTTATCTAAAAAAAAATTAAAAACTTTTTCATATTATTACATCAAATTATTTTTTAATTATAATTAATCAATATGTACGTTTATGCATTTATTTAATTTTTATAAAGAAAGTGGAGAGGTGGGAGAAGGAGGTGTCCCAAGCATTGGATTTAGCAGCTGGCTACAAAAGTAAATGCGAATTTCTTGAAACAGAACTTAATGTGACAAAAGAGGCTAACGAAGAAAGAGTATCCCGTCTGGAAATCAGGTTAAAAGAGACAGAAACAGAATTACAAAAACTTAATGAAGAGAGAAAAATTCTCACTGACAAGTTAAATATTTCCGAGGAAGAACATATGAAGGTTTGTTGTTATTTAATTTCTCTTACTTAAATTTTGAAGTTTTTTCCTAGTCCTGGTTACACAGATGCATGGACGGTTTTCAGATTTATTTGTGTGAACATGTCGAAAAATGTCTTTCTTTCTTTGGGGCAGTGGTGAGTCGCTCCAGTCAATTAAATTATCGATTGTAAAAATATTAAAACCAGTTACTATTAGATCTCTATAATTGCAATTATCATAATATATTTGAGATAATCTTTATTTAAAAAATATTATAACATTATATCGGAATACATCACTCATTCAGATAATGGATCATCAAACTTATTAACGCCTGCACTAAGTTCCTTGGGACATGACTATTTATGATAATTAAAATAGCACTAACATCAGTGTTTAAAAAACATCTGTAGTACCAATACATTTGTATAAAAAATCACCAATGATTTTTCTTTTTTTCTGTAAAAGTAATATAGAAAATTTTTGTTATAGATTTAAAAAAATTAAAACATTGACATATGAAGCATTCAAAGCTAAATAAGATAATTTCTATCAATTATAGTTTGAAATAATCAAGATTAAATTTTATTAAATTAATCCTATTCTTTTAGAGGATAATGTTTTCTTTTTATTGTTGTATGAAGAAAAAGTTAAAAGGACAATTTCATAATTCGAAATTAGTTATTATTATTAACCTAAGTGGTGGGATTCAGTTAGTTGAAATGAGTATAAACTCTTTTTTAAATTATTATTAAGAGAATAAGTGAAAGAAAATAATGAAGAGGATATTAACAACCATGTTGCATAATAATAAATTTATTTATTGAGCACTTTTACAAATGCCTTTTTGCATATTTTGTAAATGTGATGTTGTAGTGTAGCGAACCTCCTCTCTGTGATTAGTGTGAAGGCATTTATAACGTGACTCTTCTTAATGTAGCAGATGCCATGTTGGATTCTGTGATAGTGTGTCTGTTAGTAATGTTTGTACAAATGGATTAGGATGTCGAGCTAAGGAATCATACAATTTTTTGCAATATTTCAATATTTCTTAATTACGTGAGTCACATGTGATGTTTGTAGGTCTTCATGAAGTGATTAATTGGTTATGTAGAAAAGATAATGAGTGATAAACTAGAGAAATTTAGATTGGAAGATTTGAATAGTCTGTAAGTGTGTTCACATGTCCAACCTCCGAGTGACTTTGAACCCGCTTTGCAGATTCTGTCAGGAAGAGAATGAAACAGCCTTTCACATCATTTGTCGATGTGATAGGTTTGCAAGGCTTAGACTAGAGCTATTTCGGAAGGATCAAGTGGATTTCCCTAGCAGCTATGAGTCTATCAACCTGATAAACCTTTTAAGATACGCGGAAGGGACTAAACTAACGTTTTAGGAATAAACCGGATGTTATGCAATAGATCCTCAAAGGTCGCAGTGCCTTATGCCAAAATTAAAAAAAAAAAGTGGTTTTTGCATGAATCCCACCCCCAAGAGGCATACGTCCATATTGGTCTGAGTAGCATGTTGTATATAGTAATTTTGTTAGAAAGTGATAGTTTGTTTTTATGGTGTAGCATTCGTCTTAGTAGTGACAATCGATGGTTCAATCTCTTTTTTAATGTAGTCACTTGTGATTTCCAGCTCAGTCGTCTGTCCATTGTGACTCCGAAATATTTTGTCTCTGTATGATTTGGCATAGGGATGTTATAAAGTGTCAGTGGAGGGCAATTCGAACGTCTAAGTGTAAATGTAACCTGATTTTATTTTTGTATGTTAATTTTGGTGTGCCATTTATTAAGCCAGTCTTGAAAAAGATATAAATGAATCTGTACTTTTTGGGATGCTGCAATTAGATTAGAGTCAGTCGAGAATATGACAGTGTCATCTGTGTAAGTTGCAAGTAATGTTTCTGTGGAATGTCAGAAAAGTAAATAGAGTACAGAAGTAAAATACTGCTGTGCGGTACTCCTGCAGCAATTCGGCAATATTTGGAGTGTTTACCATCCTGGTTAACTACAAAAAATCTATCCTTAAGATACGATCTGATGATTAAATAGTAAGTATGCGGAAGGACCGATTTAATTTTACAAAGACCATCATGACCATGTTGCATAAACTGAAGTAATTCATAAGACAAATTGAACCATATATTGTTTATTTTATGAACTAGATTATCTCTTCACCCTTTTTATTTTTTTGTAGCTTAAGATAAAAATGTAATGTTTTTTGTTTACATTTCTGATTATGAATGGTATGAAGATTGACCAGAAAAACTCAAAACATCACTTTCTAATGGTATTGTACTTAAAAACTTTTGCAGTATGATTGTCGATATGTTAAAAACAATCCTTTTTAAGTTCATCATTACAGTTTTATCACATAAAAAAAAACTATTTTATTGTAAATGTTTTTGAGGGAGGAAGTTCATGTGGCTTAAAATATATCTTAACAGTTACAAGTAATGTTTACAGAGGGGTAGGTGGTTACTAGTGGTCGTTCACTTACGGTTAACAACTTTAGTTCATTAACGAAAAACTCAAATAAATTTAAAAATTAACTATTCCTCTTTGTGCAGAAATCTATCTCTATACAAAGTAGGATATTAAATGAAAGTGGTGTGATGGGCCTACTAGATTTTTTTATTTATTACCTTTTTGTAATATAATTATTACAGGAGAAGAAATTGGTAGAGTTAGCTCAGAAAGAACTTTCCTCACTTCAAGAAATTCTTAAGAAGACGGAAGCAGACTTATCTATTGTGCAAGAACAACGAGAGCTATTGACGACGAGGCTTCGAGAAGAGAAAGGAAGAAACACTACCCTAGAACAGCACAAGAATTCCCTTCAGGAAACTGTGGACGAAATGAAACAAAGGCTGGTAAGAAGTAGCTATTTTATTTCTAAATAACATTTACATTTTGCTAACACGGGTTAATTTTATAACATATATTACTTTTCCTCTTAAAGTAAAAGCTGCCATCATTAGCGGTGTGAATATTTTGCACATACATAATGATAGAGGCACAACTCAAAAACTGATATTTTTAAGAAAACTGTGTTTGAAGTCTTACACTTTCTTAAGTTTTTTTATAAAATATTAGGCCAAAGGTCACCAAATGTACACAGTTTTTTGTGTATATATATATATATATTTTTCTTACGGAGGGTAAGAAGAAAAAAAAACAACTTTTTTCTGGGAATTCTACAATGCTACTTAGTTAAAAACATCATTTTTTGAATTCTGCTCCTTTCATTTTGAATGTGCAATTTGTCAAGAACAACTTGCTTTGAACATTTAATTAAAAAGTATTATATTAAAAAAAACAAAAACAAATTTATTTGTTATAGAATGAAGCTGAAGAAATGGTTAAAAACCTGACATCTACTTTAGAAAGGACCAAAACAGAATTGAGAGGTGTATACCAAAACCAGTTGGAAGCTGTAGTCAAAGAAAAACTGGAGGAGTTTCAGGGTCAACTGGACCAAGCACAGGCGGCAATGAAAGCGGAAGTGAACGAAGCTCGGAAGCAAGCGCACGAGAGAGCGATGGCCGAACAGCAAGCTCTTGTTAATAGGTCCGATATCAAAAGCATTATATTCCCATTATTAGTTTATCTGTCCGTTTGTTTTTTATTACAATTCTACTTAAAATAATAAGAGTTTATTTATTTAATAATTGGGTTATTTTTATTTTATACTAGCTCTATGTCCTGCAGGTTTAATACATCTCATTACAATGTAACGTGTCATGGTGACATATGCCAATTTCATATATACCTGATGATTGCATCTCATTAATTGAACATCTACAATTTGTATGTAAAACAATAGAAAAATAGGACCAAATACAAAAAAAAAAAATTTACTTAACCGAAAGTATCTTTACTTTTATGGCTTCTGGTTATTTATTAGGCTTGCCGAATTTTAGACCCAAGCATATGGCTCATTTTCGGGGCTAAAAGCTTAAAAAATACATCAGAAATCTATGAAATAGAACTATAGAAATAGGATAAGATAAAAAGATGGAAGGTATACATAAGATAGTGGTAATATAAACATAATAGTATGCTAAGAAAAAAATATTATATAAATTGTACATATAAATTAACTAAATGATTATTAAAAATAAATAAATGAAAAGTAAAAACATTAATAAAAAGCATAGAACAACAGGTAGGTTACTTTGTTATTTTTCATTGTTTAACTTTTGATTTTATTTGTTGCTCCACACATTTATCCGTGTTCTTTTCATTTACTAAATCTCACCGTATAACATTTCTTATTACATTCCAATTATTTTGTATAATTAAAAAAAAATCATCTCACTTATTCTTAGCCATTGTAGAAAATCATAGCAATCATATTCATCAACTAGTAAAAAGAAATTTTTCTGAAATTATACTGAAAGTATGTCTGACAATTACAAATACAGTATTTGTATTCAAGAGTACAATTGTGAGTCGAATATTACTCAGCTCTATTGTAATTTAAATTACTAGTTCATATATTAAATACACTTACTTTTATTTGAAGTCAACTCTAAAACAGCTAAAGTGTGACTTTTTTTTTTACACCCAAAAATACTTCTGAATTTTAAATATTACTTTAATTTTTTTTTTCCTTTAGAAAGTCTTTGAAAAAATTTGTTCTTCAAGAATTTACAGAAATAGTTTACTCTATTCAAATATATTTTGTTTGCTTAAGAAAAGGGTACTTATGATAAGATCATAATTTGGTCAATTTCAAGTCAATAAATTCATATTACTTTGATGTTCTTATACTATTTATTATAACTTTTATGAATGTTTACAGTTTTTTTGTAAATTGTTATTTTAGCCATGTGATAGAAATGAGAAGGTTGGAAACAATTCATAAAGAAGAAATGAAAGCGCTGGAGGAAAAACTGACAGAGAGTGAAAGGAGACGAGAAAAATTGGAATCTGGGAAAAAAGAGATAGCGCACAGATTGCATGGTGTTATGGAAACGCAATGGCAACAAGCACTTTCTATAATTACCAGCGAGATTTCAATGAAACAGGTTTGTTCAGACTAAACTTGTTACCCCCTAATCTACCTCAATGGATTACCTATTCATTTTCGTTAATCCGTTAGAAATCTTGGAGTAATTTTCGATAAATACCTCTCCTGGAACAATCATATTTCTCTAATCATCTGAAAATCTATTGCTACCTTAAAACAGTTCCTAAGAGTCCGTGATTCTTAGCCCATAAAAACCCATCAGCTCCTAGTTTCCTCTCTCATTTTCTTTCACTTCGATTATGACTGCCTTATATATGGTGGACTGTTTGTTGGGCTCGAGATCAGATTGAAGAGACTAATAAATTGTTTCATTAGATTCATCTTAGGAGCCCCCAGGCACGCCCACATCTCCAGCTGGTACGCTCACCTGAACTGGCTCCATCCAGCTTCCCGGCGGCAATAGTTCCTTGGTTGGAACCTTTGCAACAAAAAAACCTTCTTACCTTCTTGATCTGTTTATTTCCTGCTCCTCTGTACATTCAACACAAGATTCCAGGCCACAAATCTTTTTATTTCTTCTCATAGAACTGTTTCCTTTAAAAAATCTTTTCTCATATGCACTAACTTGTTATGATACTTTCGTACACAAATCCTCATCCTTAATCTCATTTAAACACCATTTATTTATCAATCTCCTCAGTAATCAATTTTCCGAATAGGTGTAAGAGTAATTTTTTTATTTTTTTTAGAGTTGTCACCTCATTTTACTGTCTTCTCACAGATACATTTATATTACCCATTATTTATATGTAAATACACTCTTATATATCTACCCATAATTCAAATGTTAACATGCACTTTTATTTATTTAATATACTTTTATATATTTTAAAGACTCAATAGCAATGTAATTTAACTAACAACAAGAAGATGATTAACTTGTATGCCAGAAAAATGTCACTAAATTGTTCATTACAATTATTCTTTGGATGTTGAATGCCCCAGAATAAAATTTACTTTTCATTCATTCATTCATTATTATTGTTTAGAAGATATTGTTTGTCTCTGAATACAGAGATTTCATAAAAGATTCTTCTTGTATTAATTCAAACATATTTTTTTATTTATTGTTTCTTTTGAAACTAAAATTTAGTCATTGTCATTTAGAGTGAAGATAATGGAAATAGAAGGGATCAAAATTTAGAAGAACAAAATCAAAGATTGGCGGTGTCTCAAAGTGCCGAAGATCTTAAATATAGTAAAGATGGACAGGTAGCAAATCGTCGACAATCCAAACAGGACACATTACTAAAATATATACAGATGGTTAGTCTCAATTTTTTATTATATTTTTTTAATTTATTATACTTTATATTATGTCCAATATCATTTACAAATATGAAGGGTCACCTGGATAAACGGGTTAATAATATTACTAATTCCCTTTTATCCACTCGATCCTTCAATTATAGTTCAAGTTTGTTGTTGATGAAATGTGATTCAAGGAAAACTAAACAAAATTTACTAGTGTATTGAATTGTTAAAGACTGATACACATTACCTAAATTAGTTTAATGAGATTGAATAAAATAAATTAATGAACATACACAAATGATGTTCAACTGTCTTTGACTATTTGCATGTTTGCAAATCAGTTTTTAGCATTGAAATTCAATGTTTATAAACTTTGTATTATTTTTATTCTTCTGGCTCCCTAAATTAAATTTTTATTTTTCTAAATTTTAGTTAGGTTTTTTTTTTTTACTCCCATCCAATCGGGTTCCGGATTAGCCAGGACCCTACTGTAGTTTACTTCTGGATAATAATTTTAATTTAAGATATTTTACAGTTATTAAAAGTGGCTAGCAAAAGTATTCGGTTAAATTATAATTTTTGTATACTAATAACAATAAATTTCAATTTAAAATATTATAAATTAATTTAATAATGTCTGTATCTGAAATATTTTGGAATAAAGTTTCATTATATAAATTTTTTTTTTGGTAGCTGTTTCATTTGTGACTAGTAACACCAAGCTATTTAATAAAAAATTTGAACTCATATGGCACCCAATGTCCTTGCATCTTGATCATTCCTAATGCTTTCAAACATTTTGAAATTGTTTATTTATTCTGTTCTCACGTTCCTCGCCTTTTAGGTTATATAGGGTTTTCTTGGGCCAGGAGATGAGGGCGGGAGATTAATACCAGAGTTAAAAACTGCACTAGCACCGGGACACGAACTCCTACTTATTTTATTCTATATAACTTCGGTTATCAGGTTGCCGAGCAACGTGTGGTGCTGTGCACATGCATTACCCCGCTCGGCCACCCCGCCCCTAAAAAACTGTTTGAAACAGTTGTGTGATCTATAGTGGATATAAGATGAGTTTGCTAGTAGGAGAAGGGAGCTCGCTCAGCCTTCCCCCACTGAAGTTTTATCTCCCCCAAACCTTATCATGAATTGAGATGAATGATGAGATGAAGCTATTCACGAAGTTTTAGACAGATGTTTATGATTTGATAAAAAGAAGTCATAATAATTTGATCACAAAATCGATGAAAAAGATGGCTGGCCTACAAAAATATTGGGCTTTTTGGCTTTTATAACCTCTTTATTTTGACATTTCGGAGGTGGAGGTCATACCAAACAGTCCAATATTTTTGAAGACAATCTTTTTTCTCGATTTTTTGATAAAATTATCTTACGGTACAAGTAGAAAGCAAGTGGGTATTCATGAGTTTTTAATACCTAATTAAATGGACAAAGTTTGCCGATCTCCCGATTGAAAATGTCCCAATTCCAAGAATTTTTATAAATAAAAAAGTTATAGGTTATGATGAGATGAAGCTATTCACGAAGTTTTAGACGGATGTTAATAATAAAAAAAAAAAGGGTTTTTGTACTACAGACTATTTATTAGTAGTATTAACAAATTACTATTTTAAATTAAAATCCTCCCCACTTTTAGAAAAACTTCCTCGTTTAATAAATTTTAAGTTGAGGTTTATTAGGAGAAAAAAATTGAGATTTACCTCAAGTTATGTAAAAATGATCATTTTAATTTTATCCTGTCACATAAAAGTACCTCTGTTTTCAGCAAAAATGACTAAATATTCATAAATTAACTATATTTGACAAATGTATATAAAGTCTGAACATTACGGTTACTCTTAAGGACTTTTGTCTCACAATACGAGTATATATATGTTTTTTAAATAATTTATTTCTTCGTAATCTATAAACTAAAAAAAAAAAAAATGGTAGTTACTGTTGAAAACGTTAATGTTTATGAAAAATTTAATAAATTGAATTTTGAATAAGTGAAAACCAATGTTTAATTATCATTAATGGGAATTAAACAATTTAATACTTTTGCAAGCTTGCTTTTCATTAGCTTATCTGACCTTTTTTATTACTTCGATATCAGCGTCATATATTCAACAGGTGAAGAACGATACTAAATGAGAATTTAGTTCTAGTCTAAACTTACTCCGTGACGAATTTATGTGAATATTTGCATGTCTAATAATAAGGTGAGTTATATTTCAATTTATTTATTTTTTCTTTGTCTCACTTATATTTGTTTATTAGACGGATAATCTACTCGGAAAATATTATTTTCTATAAATTTATTAAAGTGTAATTTTGTTTTAGCTGTTAGATAAACAGCCTGGAAAACCAATAGATAGCAGTAGTTCTGGGCAGTGGCCTGACTTAACACAGAGTGATGTACTTGATGATAGCCCAGTAGGTGAACAAAAATGGAATCAACTCATTTCGGTAAGATGGTGGAAAAAAAACCTTTCATACTTCATTTCATGCACTTGAAAATATTCATCATTTCAGGATTATTTGTGCATTTTTAAGTCAGGATAGTCTCTACAAAAAATAAAAATCATACTTTATTCTTAAATATAATATACAATTATCTACAATGGTCAATTATCCACAAGTTTAACAATAATTTCTATCTTGTAAATAAAACATAAAGCAAAACATTAAAGTCCAGCAAAAAAAAAATGTAATTTATAATTTTTTACCAGATTATTTTTTTAATTGTCATATGGTCAAAAATAGGTGATATCAGGTGTAATTCGTAAATCTTGATATTTGCCTTAAGTGTTTGTTTGTGCTGTAATAGTGATATTAAACATTTGTTTTGTCATAATTTTTATTCAGATACTTTGTTACAGGGTAGACCTCAGTATCAAACAGAATCTGATCCTCTGAAACCATCTCTATATCTGAAGAAACCTCCTTGGAAGTAAAATATTATTGTACAATGATGTAAATAACAATAATAAAAGTTGTTTATATCTTATGTATTGTATACATTATTATTGATGAAGAGTATTGGATTTAATCCTATTTAATAGATCATAGTATTGTTTTGTTATTTTTAATTAAATAATATGTAAACATTGTATAATAATTATATAGTTAATAATCTATAATTTAAAGTTTGTTGTTAATATTTTCTGCAGTATTCATTTTATAAAATAGAAAATTTATTTATTAATTTATGAAATCATTTTTATTATAATGTGCAATGTATGCAAGATTTTATATTTTTGTATCATATTTTATTATTGAACATAGCATTTTTATTTGGAAAAAGTTTTAGTTTTTATTCCCTTAAATTGACTAATAGTATTAATTTATATTATTAAAGGATATATAATCAAGAGATGCAATTTTTTTTAACATTTCAAACGTTTGAAGTTTTATATATATATTTTTTATTCTGTAAATAACAGAACATGCAATTTTCATGTTTAGTCTGTGAATTCTGTAAATAACAGAAAATCCAATTTTAATAGTTTTCAATATAAAAATCTTATTTCTTCCAGCTTGTTAACAGTTTGTGTGTGTATTTATTTTTATCTGTTTATAAATGGCATTTCCATATAAGAGACATTTATTTAAATTGATGACATACTCTATACAATTTTTTATGATCAAAATTACTACTTTAATGATTTACATTTATGAGGCTCATACCTGTTTGTCATTTCGAAACTAATTAGGGAATGGGCCATTAGTTTTGAAGGCGAAATTAATGCAATTTCATTGGCGTTGCCATCCCTCTCTAACACAGATGCTCAAAATATTGTACAGTTAGTATAACTTCCAAGTGGCTCTCCTTCCTGTAGCACAACCCAATAATTTCTATGCCCAGAATATTTAGAACTCTCAATATATCATTGAAGGATTGCTTCTTCAGGAAAGATAAATTGTCTTTCAATGGAAACCAAACCCTTGCGGTCTCAACAGTAATGAAATGACAGATAAACTAGCCAAAAAACGCAAATATCAGTGAATAGCCAGAAAAGCAGGGATCATTCCAAAGAGATAGGAAAGAAATAGAGAAGACAAAACATTTGTTGTGTTTGAATCCCTAAAGATAAATACTGTTGGAAGCACTAAAGAAAATTGCTTAAGAAAGTGTACCAGCTCACATGTTGAGAAAGGATAGATTATGTGAAATTCCGTATGATTACTGGCCATGATTACATACAGAAACATTTTTATAAAATTATAATGAAAAATTCTCTGTAATTTGTAATGAGGCAGCAATAATAGATGCTACGGATTGTTTGTTTTGTTGGTTAATGTTTTGGTTAATAGCGTAAAACTTAATTGGCAACCAACACCATTTTTAATAGTAATTTATTTATTTTTATTTGTTAATTCATGTTACGTAGACCCACATTTTTTATTTTACATTCACACTTTTTTTATGTCTTATTTTTGATATGTTTTTACATTGTATGCTTTCACTTACAAGTCACAAGAAATATGACACAGTCAAAATCAGTGATACTGGGGTGCTAGATCCCTAATGGCCAAGAAGCTGAAGAGAGTAGGCGAAGGGATGCTCCTCCCCAAAGGCCGATGGCGCATGAACCTCCCTCCCTCCTCAAGATATTTTATTGCTCTTCTCTTCTTAAAAACATTAGAAATAAAAGTACTGTAAATCATATACAATTAAACGTACTGAGGTTTGCTTCTTGTATTCCCTTTGTCTCCTTGTTTGAAACTTTTCAATCCAAAAATTCAGAACTGCCCCCTCAAAAATTCAAAATGTGCTCTCCCTCAAAATTTGCGCCATGAAACCTCCTTTTGGGCACTCCTGAGTAGGCGTAATTAAAAAGAAAAAATACACTGATTAGAATTATTAGTTTAATATTGTTATAATGATATAAAAAATGAAGATAATTATAAAAAAATAAGGAAGCTGCTTGGGAAGTGAAATCAGATGAATAAGGAAGCTTTAATATAATTAATGAATACTTAATAAGGAATAATTTTGTTATTATTTCATCTGTATGCACTTTCTAACCAACATCTAAAATTCATTCTTTAGTCAACAATATCTCCACAAAAAAAGAAAGAAATATTGATGACCTACTCTTCTAGGGGATGGGATGGCCAAGCTGGTTAAGGCATTTCTAAAAGCAAACTAACCTGCAAACCCAAACATTGTAAGTTTGAATTCAGGTCCTTAGATTTCTTGGACAGTAATTAAAATATAAGAAAAGCAATAAATAAAAATTAAATATGGTAAACAGTTCCATCAAGGTAGATAATGCTACTCGAGTACTTAGGCCAATAAATTGTGGATTGGAGATGAGGGACATTAACATCCTTATTCCATTGCCCATGTTTGGTTGTATGAGAGTTTTTATGATTAGTATTCTTGTTGAACTAGGATTTCAGTGTTCCTAGTTTCAAATTCAGCTCTTATATTATTTTCAGCATTCATATTACAACCAAGGTACTTAAATTACTTGCTTAAAAGAATATGAGCCAACTGTTACAGTTTTCCTGGTTGCACTTCTTGTCCAATTGCCAGATAATTTGTCTTGGGAGCATTGATTTCCAGACCCACCATTTCACAGCTTCAGTGCTTGAAAAGCTAGCTGTCCATGTCCATTAGAGATCTTCCCATGATCTCTCAAAGCCCAGGAACAGAACAAACCTATTAAAGATAGCCCCATTCGCTTAAATGCTCTAGTCTTGTACAGATTTTTCAAGGTCGAAGTTAAAAAGGTGGTATACCAGAGGAGACTTACACTCCTCCCAGAAATAAAAGCCAGTCTGTCCCCTAATCATGCAATCTACTGCACCTATTGTTGGCTTATACATCTAAATTAGCTTTATTTTCTATTCTGGGATATTTAATTATTTCATGATGGATTATAATTTGTCCATGTCAATATTATTTTAAGCACTTTTGAAGTACAAGAATGGTGATTGTAATAATTTATTTTTCTAAAATTTGATGGAGTGTAAAAATATGATTAATAGTAAAAAAATTATGAAATCCACAATGATACCATCCAATAACTCCCTGCTTGTGAAATGACTTATAGATTATTTCGAATATTTTAAAACTTTTACATGTAATGCTAAGAAGATCTTAATAAGAATTTTACCAGGTTTCCTCCAAATTAAATTAGCCATGGAGTGCTGTTGTTTTCCTCCCCTATAACTAGAAATGTGTGGTTTAGGTTTAATTTATTCCTACAATAATATATGGTTCATTGAAATTGCTTAAGAAGTCCAGAATAAATGGTGAAATTACTTTTCTCCTCTCAAATAGCTAGAATGGTCAGTGTCAATTATCCTTGTATGATTTCTAGACAATGTTTCATAAAAATTAGCCTAATAATTAGAAAGTGCTGAAACTTCCATCTTTTCTAACATCAATTCCTTTATTTATAAATTATTTTTGGCTAGCTAAGAAGAAAGATAGGTATACCAAACTTCTTCCAAGTTATTCAAAATTGGTGTGATTTCCCCCCTTCATTCCTAACTATGCAAATTATGAATGTTGTACTTTTCTATTTTTTTTTATTTTTATTTTATAAGAACAAGCGCACTAAGAGTTTTTTTAATTCAAAATATTATTTCAGTTCAAGTACTTTTTACTATAATGATAAAAGTGAATCTTGGTAATACTGATTGTTTTGCGTAGGTTATACGTTGGAAACTGTTTACAGTTTCAAACCATCTGAGTAGAGTTTCTTTCGTGGGTTTTCTGTTTTTTTTTTTTAATATTCAGATTTTGTTGTACTAGAAGTTAGTTCTATACTCAACAAATAAATATGGGGGACGCTAATATTATTGATAAATCTATGAGATCGGTGTTCGGTATGTATTTTGACGATAAACTTATAAATTCGTGAAATATTAAATGTTAGTACTGAGTTTATTCCTATTTATTTTTTTTCAGTGGGTAATATTCCTTATGAAGCCACAGAAGAAAAATTGAAAGATATATTTAATGAAGTTGGGCCTGTTCTCTCATTCAAGTAATATTTTTAGTCAATATGTTGGTAACTTATCTATGTTACCTCATTTATAAAAATTTATATGGTTGATTATTTTTTCTTATTTATGATTGTAGACTAGTTTACGATCGGGAAACTGGAAAACCCAAGGGCTATGGTTTTTGTGAATATAAGGATCAAGAAACAGCTCTCAGTGCTATGAGGAATTTAAATGGATATGAAATCGGTGGACGCTCTTTGAGAGTTGATAATGCGTGTACAGAAAAATCCAGATTAGAAATGCAAAGTGTGTTACAGTATTATATACGATGTAATTGAATAATGCACTGTTGCCTGTTGTTCTTATCTAATTCATAATGATTTTTCTTTAGGTCTCTTAGCTGGACCACCAATTGATAATACATATGGGGAGTCAGTGGAATCTGATAAGGCACCGGAAGCTATAAGCAAAGCCGTTGCTTCATTACCCCCAGAGCAAATGTTTGAGCTAATGAAACAGATGAAGCTTTGTATACAAGTAAGATTATTAATTTTCTGAAACTATTTAGGAATAAGGATGTTTATTTTAAGATTTCTTTAAATGTATAAATCTTGTTTTTTTTCTATTCTTGTGGAACTCGTATAGGATATGCTGGTTTACATATACTGTAGCTAAGTAGGTGGGTAGGGCTTAGTTACCTTATCAACAAAAGTTGCCTAGTCAAACTGGTCTGATATTTTATATACTAAAACTAAGTGCTCTTATCTTAGAGGCTAGTTCTTTTATCGGGTCATTTTATTTAAGTTGGAGGTGTTCAGCTTTTGTAATCTGTAAATTTTATAGATATAGTACCCATTATTAGTAAGGTCCTAAATTTATTTATCAAATATCACTTGAGGGTTTCAAGTTTATTTTGTAAAAAGTGATCTGAGTATTTTTTATGAGGTTCTGTAAAGAGCCCTTAGTTTTGATATATTATTAAAGTGTACCTTAAATACAAGAAAAGATGCCAATCAGTGGAGTTGGACAGATTAGAAAGGATTCAACAGCTGCAACTATCATGATTTATTTTGAAAAGAAATATTTACAATAATATTACTTTTAATACTATTATAGTGCTAAGTCTCCCGGTAGAGTTGTGTGTTTTCGCATATAAAAGTGGCCTCTGATGAACACTCCATTCCAAACGTTAAATGGAGTGTGGAATGTGAAAGTCTGAATTTTTTGGAGCTTCTGAAATTCTACCATAACAACAAAAAATCAAAGAGGGACATCTGTCATTTTTAATAAGTTGAGAAAAAACCAATTTTTGTATTTTAGTTTCAATTTAAACCAATTCTAATGATTTTTACTTTCACTTACAATAATATGAAATATATAGTAAGGGTAAGTATTGTGGTCATGAAAATTTTCGAATCTGAGTTTTTAACAAAAATACATGTATTGAGCTCTACTGAGTCCAAATTTTGGAGCCCCGCAAAATGGTCTATGTGTTTGTGTGTGGATGTATATATGTGAACAATCTAGCTCAAAAACGAAAAGTCTTACGAAACTGATATTATGTATTTAAGATTGGTATATGCCTTAGATGTCCTCCTTTGATATTTTTCAACTCAATTTTATTACTATTATGATACAATGTTTATTATTAATAAACTGGAACAGCATTATTTGTGAATACAAAATTGCTTGCTTAAGTGTGAATCACTATCTGACAGTAAAAAATGGAATAATGGAGTGGAGTGGGGCTTTTGAAATTGTCTTCACTCCAAGAACTACAGTTGTTCCTCTTCATTTTCCCATAGTTAATTCTTTGTGATTGGGATCGGTCATTGTTATAAATGGTTACTTGAGTTTATTTTATATTATGGCCTTTCAGCTTTAGTTGTCACCATGTTTTCTATTTAGTTGATAAAATGAGGGTAACTGAATTAGAAGTGTAAGCGTTGTATAAGAAAAAGACTAGTCCTGATCTCCCATATTGTTGTGGGTAATGCAAGAATAGATTTTCTGATTATCTAAATCTTTTTTGTTTTTAAATATTTAGTTTTAATTTTGGTATATTTTATTTTATCTTTTCAGAACAATCCTACAGAAGGTAAAGCAATGTTGTTACAGAATCCTCAGCTAGCGTATGCTCTTTTGCAAGCCCAGGTCGTGATGAGGATAGTAGATCCACAGATTGCTATCGTAAGTAGTTTTAGTTCATAACGTAAGTTTATTCGTAGAAATCTGTAAGTAACGTAAAATTAAATCACTTAGATGTATTTTCTCTCTGTGGATTTAATAATAATAAAGTATAATATAAAATTATCCCAATAATAACAGAATTCAAGCTCTAATGTGGGCATTGTAACTATTAAATTATTTGTAACTATTAAATATTCTAGATGAAGGAAGGCTAATTTTTTTAATTAATATTATTTTAAATTCAACAAATTAAAAAAAAAATCACACAATCCATTAAAAATAGATTAACAATTAAAATAAAGAATTATTGAAAAGAAAGTTGAGTTTTTTCAAGTTAGGTAAAAATAATTATGGAACAGGTTGAGTAACTATTGTTACATGATTGTGTGATAAATAATGATACGTTTTATATTTTATTAATATTGATATTTTAAAAACAAAAATTTTTGGTGTTGCGTTGACAAAAGTTTTATATATTAATAGTAATTTTTATTAATAATAATTTACCAATATGTATTTTTGACTTAAAAATGGGCAAAAAAAAGTCTGAAACGTCATCAATTGATTTGTGAATAAAAATTTCAATAAAAGGGTTCGAGTTTGATATAGTTCCTCGTGAAACTAAATAAGTATTTAAAAATTAATATATTCTTTTGAAAAATAATATTAGGGAATTTATGAGAAATAATAATATCCTTTATTTAATCCAGGACAAGAACCTTTAGAATAAAATATAACAAAAGAATTGTGGGCTTTAGGGCCTAAGATGTAAATATAAAAGGGTCTAACTATATCTGATATATAAAAAAGTTTGTATCATTTTGATTTATTTACTTGTTTTTGTATTGATAAATAAGACAGAAATTCAAAGTAATGCTCTTTAAAAATTTTACTCCATCAAATATGTACTTAATGACTTTTTTTAATAAACCAGTGATATTATAATATATATTTTCAAATTAATTCTACCACTTAACAAATGACATTCCTGTTCAAGTGCTTGCTAAAATTAAATTTTATATTTCAGACAATGTTGCACAAGGCCAACCCAAGCGTACCTCCTCTTCAGCCGCCTCCTGTCGAGGCAATACGGCCTGTGCCTGTGCCACAGCCTGCTCCAGCTGTCGCACCGCCTCCAGTTGTACCGCCAATAGTGCAGACGAGACCTGTCGTGGAACCGGAGTGGGTACCTCCGGCTAGGCCGCATCAACCACCTCATCCACCAACATTCATTCCTCAACCAGGTAAGAATAAATGACTAATTAATTCGCAATTGAGTCAAAATACTGAAGATTTGGATCCACGTATATAAATAATCATATTTATATATATTCTATATTCGATTGGATAGAAACTAAATATATTGTGACTAACCTATAATAAAAAAAATTTTATCTAGTTTTTGAGATTTCAATTGCATAGGATATTCTACTGTTATATTCACTGCATATTTCTCTCGCAACCAAATTATTGCACAACTTAGAAGAAGATGGCTTAGGACTATGCAGTAACACATAGTTATATTTTAAGGACCTAAAAGTTTGCCCAAAATTAATAATACTAGGAATATCATCACAAGTTTATGTGATGGGGTACTTAAATGAAACAAATTGTGAAAATTTGAGCCAAAATAGAATTCTTATGATAAAGAACATGTTAGATGGCAAGGAATTCCAGAAGGTGACGGAGTGGTCTATGAAGGAACATTTGTAAGATTTATTTCTATGGGAGGGAATATAGAGGTCAGAGACATTGCAGATCTTGTTTTCTGCAAATGAACTGAGGGTTTGAGGTGAGGAAGACAGTAGATATAGGAAGGGTGTTGGGAGTTGATCGTTTAGTGCAGGAAATTTCCAAGGAAATATCAGTGGCAGAAGGAGGGGTAAAGCCACTTTAATTCACTATACAGGTGGGAAACATGGGACCGTCTCGATGAATTAATCTTCACTAATAAGTATAAATTGAAAATATATGCTAGTTCCCCATTTACAATTAGCATGCATTTGAGATATTTTTATTAATAAGTCATAGAATTGACGATTAGTTTATTTCTTTTAGTGTCCCTTATAATAGGATTATCTTCGATCATCACTGGGATTATAAATGTTCATGAGTGATTCTCTGCAGATTGAGTAACTAATATTGATTTTAATTTAACTAATAAATGCTAATAAAGATAGTTTTCATTATTGATATTTATAAAAAATTTGGTTGGTTGTGCAGGTGGTGATTTAGATATGAGAACATTGGACCCGAGGGTACCACCGGTGAGATTGAATCAAGACCAAGACTTGAGGATACCTCCGATGGTTCCAGCGCCTCAGCAGCCTCCGGCTCAGCCTCCTCAGCCATACCCTCAGGAACAGTCAGTATTATTATTTTATTATTATAATTCTGAAACACTTTCTACTCATTGGTGGACTGTACAAAAGAAACCATTGTGTAATAATTTTGAGTAATTTTGTTTTATCATTAAACTTGTTAAAATATAATAAGGAATGGGGTAGCTCAGTGAGCAAGGCACTGTACCAATGCTCAGGTCACAGGTTCGAGTCTGGCTGTGGTAGGTAATTATTTATTCTTTTACATCAGCCATGAATCAATCCAAGCACACCCATCCTCTATGAGGCGAGTGCTCTTAATTAAATATATAATTAAGGGAGAAAATTTGTAGTTAAGCTTGATCTTGGCCCAATCACTTCTGTTGTATCCTCTATACAACTATTGACTTTACTTCCATGGTCTGTGATGGTGGTACAGGTTAAACAAAAGTACTCGTCAAAATATGTTTTACTTTTTGTACTCTGGAAAAAGGTGTACACCCCTCCTCTTCTTTGATAATTCTTTAATGATGTACAACTCTATTTCAACCTAAAGTTTGTTATTTTATCCTATGATATGCAGAATAAAAAATCAGTACAAAAATAAATGAAAACTAATATCATATATTGTTAAATCATTATTGATATATTTTGATTATTGTTTTTTTATTTAAATTTATTAATACTTTCTTTATTTTTTTTATATCCTTAATTCAGTTAAATGCTATAAGTTTTATTAAAGTAAATTAGATGGATAGAAGATTGAGAGAAACAAATATTATTCTGAGAGAAGGTTCCTTAAGAATAAAAATGGTGCACAAATAAAAAGAAACTATATCTCGCCAAAAATTACATTAACAAGTATTCAACTCAATATTGTAATTTTTTTTTTAATGTAAAAAATCTCATAATTTCAGAAATATTTATAACTGTTTTTTTCTAGAAAAATTAAGCAATATATATATATATAATAAAAAAAATATACATATATATAAAGAAAGAATTCCTTAGAAATGGATAAATGTTGTCTGGAACATATACAAATGAGTAAATTAAGATTTTTTGGAAGAGTGGAAGTTTAGTTAAATTATTTAAAAGCAGTTAATTGAATACTTCAATTTTATTTTCATTGTATTTTTAATTTGATTTTTCTCCACTACTGTTATAGATTGTAATTTTCCTTGAAGGGATGCAATATATCTTTCTTTTTTATAATGGATGATGAACTAATTTTTTTATAAAGTAATCCACTGAAAGTTGAAACCATTCGAAAGTTTCCTTGATAATATCCCTACAACCAATCTGTGGACATGAAATGAGAAAGATGAGAATCAGTTTTTTGCACACTTGACGAGAATCAAACTCATCACTTGTACTTCTCCTATGTAAAAATCTGTAGATTGGCTTACAGTTCTTATCCACTAAGCTATTCTGCTTATTAATAACTGAATTATCCACTGCCATATTATCAAAATTTAGCTGTATCGGCAATATATAATTTCTCCTTATTTGCCACAGTTTTTGACCATAAAATATTCTCTAAGATATATATTTTATATTCTCTACCATTATATATATTTTTTTATATTCGGGTTTTTAAAAATTAAGTAATTATAATTGTTCATGCTTCTGAAAACCAGTTTGGACAAAATAACTGACAGGTTGGTATGTTTATATTAACAATATTTCATTTCAGTTTGAATATCGCAGCTTAATAGTTCATAGCGTTGGTTTATTGCAAAATGTCATTAAATGACATTTTATAACCTCAAATAGTTAAGAACATTGAAAAAATTTCCCTTTATCAAATCAGAAAATTGTGCACATGTAACTATATTTGATATTTAAAAAGGTTTGTGTCATTTTTATGAACTTGTAGTGTTTTTGTATCGATAAATAAAGTTGTAATTCACAAGAACATATTTAAAAGTTGACCTATACCAAAAATGCACTTACAAAGGGAGGTTACGTTAATGATCCTTTTGTTGGTGTTATAAGGTAAACAAATATTCGACCCAAGTCCAAGGGTTCTTGCCAATCTTAGGAGAAAAAAATATTTTATAAAATTTTATTATTTTTTTATATTAATGTTTTCTGACTTTGCTCTGCATAGATTTCTTAGTTATTATAAATCAATAGATTTTTTTTTTTGTAAAATAAGAAATTGTTAATTGTATTAAACAAATTCTAATATATAATAAATTACGAAAACCCAAAGGCGCTTCTAATAAAGTTGGCCAAGTAAATTTTTGTCACGAAAAAACATATTCAGATACGTTTTTAGCTTCAATATTTAGCAGTTGTAATATCTATTTTAGTAAATGGCAAGAATCTGAATCATTTTTGAATGACAGAATGACTCAACTGTTTGCGTATGCAGACGATGTGGTTGTCACTTCAAGCAGCGAAGGATTCATTCGGTAGGTTAGAAGATGAGGTACGGAAAATGGGGCTCTATGTCAATGAAAACAAAACTAAAGTCCTTGTCTTAATGAAGAAAAGGCTCATCCGTCCACCACAGCACTATGTTGTGGGAAACCACACTTTTCAAGCTGTATCAAGCTTTTCCTACCTCAGCTCCAAGATTAACAATAGCCATAACGAAAAGGAGGAGATAGGAGCTAGAATAATGGCTACCAACAGAGCTTACTTTTCTCTAGCAAGCCTTCTGAAAAGAAGATTGTTGAGTCGTACCACCAAGTTTAGGCTATACAAGATGGTTATTCAACCAGTTGCTTTATATGCGTGTGAGACATGGACCCTTATGAAGGCATCTACAGAATGAATAGATCGGTTCGAAAGGAAAATCCTAAGATGGATAATAAGACCTAAACTGGAGGAAGAAGAAGTACTCCGCCTTAAAATAAACAAGGAGGTATACTTCATCTGCCTATCTCCCGATTCGCTCGAGTTCAGAGAATGAAATGATTAGGACATATCCTGAAAATGGATGAAGCGAAAAAGCTTTATCATGTGAAGGCAGAGGGAATTAGGTCTAGGGGAAGACCGAAGGCAAGATGGATGATAACGTAAAAGAAGATTTGAAAACAAACGGAATATCCATCAGGTGCGCAGCCAACAAAGATGACAGGGCAATGGAAATTGAGCAGGCCCAGGACCTTGTGTTGCACCAATAAAGAATGAAAACAATTTTATAAAATATTTTCTTTCTCTGCTCCATTCCCAAGAACCTTCAGACATAGGTAAATATTATTCGACCTAATATCACCAAAAAAAGTTTTATTGGAATCGGTGACCACACATCCGTGACCTCCCCATTTTACTGACTTTTTGTAATAAACCGACAACATATTAAACTATTTGATGTGTTTATAATTTTATTTAAAAAATTTTTGTGATTTTTTTTTTTATATTATTGTTATGATGTTATTTGATATACTTACTGAGGATTTCTAATTTGTAAGGTCTCATTGGCCCCACAACAAAACTTTTCAAGTTAATAACTCGCATGTTGATAATATATCTGCAAAAATCTTAAGTCACATTTTTATTAAAATCTAACAGAGTATGTCATTTTTATGTTATCACTTGTCTATAGTAAGTTGTAATAGCCTTTAATTTTAAAAGTTTTCAGAGGAATTAAAGTTTTTGTTTTCTCCTGAAAAATTATGCTATAAGTCCTTAAAATGTTTTGCAGGAATATTGTCGATACATAGTAATCCTTTTTTTATTTTACTCAGATTGCCCATTCAAAAGCAAAATATTTTTTTATAAAGAGAAAAAAACTAGAAGTATGTTTTCAATCAAATAAATATAACTTTTTTAATAATTTGTTACTATAAAAGTCCTTTCTGGGGTTAGACATTTGGATAGTAAATTAGCCTTGTCTGTGATTCAACAAATAATTGGGTTTTTTTAAATATATTTTTTCATTATACTTTCTAGCTTGTTTTTTATGAGTTTATATATATATTTATTTATTTATTTATTTTCTAATCATTGGGTAAATAGTAGAATATAGGGTATTTAATGATGTAATAACCATTATTATATTTGTTTTCAGTGTGATATCAAGTACTGTTCGGGATCCAAGACAGTATCGTGATCCTCGCACAGGTAAAGTTTTGTTGTTCATTCTGTTATTAATTGTAACCCTTTGTATAGCAGCTACTGTTTGTATATAAACATATAAATGTACAGAAACTAACAGTATTTCAATGATTCTAGGTATATATAATTTATTATGAGAAGGAGTTAGTCGAGGGTGCGGTCAGATAAATAAAAAATTAAAATATATTAATTATTTTAATTTAATATATAATATATTTTAATTTTTTATTTATTTGACCGCACTCTCGACTAACTCCTTCTCATATTATATCAACGGTCAACCATCTCTACATCATTATAATTTATTATGTTTGTAATATTTGGAGAAAATTTGCATTGAATAGATGAAGTATATAGTTTTTTACCCTATATAGTCATCTTATCATAACCTACAACTTTTTTTATTATGAAATTTCTCAGATAGAGGTGGGAGGGGGAGCGAGAGCGTTGTTTTCTCATTGAATTGATTGATTTAATGAGATATCAAAAACGTGTTAATATCCATTTGCTTTACACTTGAATCTTAAGATAATCTTATTACAAAATTAAGAAAAAAAGGTGGCCTACAAAAATATTAGGTGGTTGGGCATATATAACCTCTTTATTTTGGTATGTTGGGGGTGGAGGTCTCGCCAAACGGACCAATTCTTTTGTGGGCCACCTTTATTCTTCAACTGGAAAACAAATTAGTGTTAATGAGTTTTCAATGTGTCAATAAATAGATAAAGTTTACTGTCTCCAGATTGAAAACGTCCTTTTCCATAAATTTTGATAAATATAACGGTACAATGACGATTAAAATATTCTATTAGCAAAATAGGACTTGCTTTGATAAGTCTTAAAGCCAAAAAAGATTTTAAAAAAATATCTAACAGTTGTAGGTTACGATAACATTTACAAAGTTTTATATGGATGTTAATAATTTGATGAAAAGAGATCTATATCACGTACAATAGAGTTGAGCAACTACTCTTGGTTAGGAATATTGTTTTTAAGCTCCTGTCCAGTCTTTCACGACAGAGCTTAACTTTCATAAGAATAAAAGGGAGGTTATCATTTGGAATAATGCTTATAATGAAAAACATTCACCAATGAATAATTTATTTAATCTATGTTTTTCTGTATCAACTGTTATCATTGATCAAATCAGCTGAAATAAGAATTGTCTATAAATATATTTATAATGATGTAGAGATGGTTGAGCTTGATATGATATGAGAAGGAGTTGATCGGGGGGAGGGGGGTGCGTTCAAATAAATACTAAATTATACAAATAGTATTATTTAATTTTGCCGACGTTTCAACCCACTTTGCAGGTCTTCATCAGGGCTACAAAAGATACAAAACAAGTGAAAATAAAATAAATGAATATAAGTAAATATAAAATAAGAAGAAGTTGTCTGGTAAAAAAATAAAAAGATGACATCAGAGATATAGTGGGTGACAATATAGTTAAATATCAAGTACTATATATATATATAGAAGATACAAAGAAAAATGGAAAATAAGTATGAAAAAAATAGAAAACAACTATATTCTCCTTATAATAGCTATATTCTCCTTTGTTTTCTATTTGTATTCATACTTATTTTCATAATGATGTAGAGTTGGTTGACCGTTGATATGATATGAGAAGGAATTAGTCGAGGGTGCGGTCAAAAAAATAAAAAAAATTAAAATATATAAATAATTTTAATTTTTGCCGACGTTTCGACCCACTTTGCAGGTCGTCTTCAGGGCTACAAAAGATACAAACTTGTTGAAAAAATAAAAATAAAATAAAAAATAAATATAAGTATATATAAATTACGAAGAAGTTGTCAGATACAGAAATAAAAGATAAAGAAAATAAATACATGATAAGAAAATAGATAAAAGAAAATAAATACATGAATGTTAACGAATAAATGAATGTTAACGAATAAATTGATTGAAAATTGAATAACTATTGTTACATTTTATTTATTATATTTTAACTTTACTGTAACAATAGTTATTCAATTTTCAATCAATTTATTCGTTAACATTCATTTATTCGTTAACATTCATGTATTTATTTTCTTTATCTTTTATTTCTGTATCTGACAACTTCTTCGTAATTTATATATACTTATATTTATTTTTTATTTTATTTTTATTTTTTCAACAAGTTTGTATCTTTTGTAGCCCTGAAGACGACCTGCAAAGTGGGTCGAAACGTCGGCAAAAATTAAAATTATTTATATATTTTAATTTTTTTTTATTTTTTTGACCGCACCCTCGACTAATTCCTTCTCATACTTATTTTCCATTTTTGTTTGTATCTTCTTTATATATAATACTTGATATTTAACTACATTTTCACCCACTATATCTCTGATATCGTCTTCTTATTTCTGTATCAGACAACTTCTTCTTATGTTATATCTACTTATATTCATTTATTTTATTTTCACTTGTTTTGTATCTTTTGTAGCCCTGATGAAGACCTGCAAAGTTGGTCGAAACATTGGCAAAAAAAATTAAATAATACTATTTGTATAATTTAGTATTTATTTGATCGCTCCCCCCACTCCCTCCGATCAACTCCTTCTCAAACATATTTATAGTTTAAAAATACACCTATTTTTAAAGAATGACAAAATTATATGAAAAATACTCAACATCAGATGGTTCGATATAGCTTGTACATGTTTTTTTTAGGTGCAGCACCTGTTCCCGTCCCGCCAAGACCGGTTGTTGCCCAGGCAGTGGTGCCACCACGACCTGTAGCGCCTCCACCCAGTCATATCACATCAGCGCTTCCTCCTGCGGCTTCAGACCAGGAGAAGGTAACTTAACTTACCTCTGTATTATTATGTTCAAATTTTTAGTGATTGGAAAGAATATTTACTTTCCTATGAAAACATTCCTCTTTTCGCAATCCTCTCGCAGCCATTCCCTCATTAACATCTTCCATCTACATATTCCTTGGTCATCCCCTCTCTTCTTTCTGTACTGTTAGTTATATATTAAAACATTTTTTGGCCATTTGTTTTCTCCCGTATTTTTTTTTTCAAAGGAAATAATTTTATAATTCTGGGTTAATGGTTGGCTATCGTGAATAACGAAGAGAAGAATAGTTGGGGTGATCAGTCAAATAAGAAGGCAAAAATAAATGATAATATTTATTTTTACATATGCCGACGTTTCGACCTGAAGATCAGGCCTTCATCAGGGCTAAGAAAAGAACCAGATAACAAGGTATGAGAAACATAAATAATGTAGGTAAAAAAATTAAAGTAAAATGAAGTGGGTAGAATAAAGACAATAGTAAGAACTTAGAGATAAATAATAATAATTAAAATGTACTGACAACGTATAATATAATAAAGAGTTAAAACAGAGAAAAGGAATGAAAGGATGGAGGAAAAGAAGAGAAAACTGAAAAAAGAAAGAAAAACCAACCTCACTCCAGTAGCTGACAGGATAGAGTGAAGGGTGAAGGGGTTTGGTATGGTAGCAAGGGAGGGGGGAGATGTATGGAATAATTTTATTCTATAGGATCGAGTTAAGGTTTCCAATAATATTTCTTCCTCAAAATATTTTCGATGAAATGTCTGTTTCAAGAGTCTTTTTTTCATTTATACACATTTCTGAGTACAGAATGAATCCCCAGTTCTATGCTCTGTGGAAGAAATTAATTTTATGTTAACACAGGGACATGCTTGATGAGTTAAAGGGCATATATTCTGTTTTATGACCAGATCTTATTGGGATTATTCTTCTATTGGTTTTCTCATCATATTCGTGTAATCGTATTGTTATGCTCTATTATTATTTTACTTATTTTATTATTAATGAGTAACGATAATTATGAGTGATGGAGTAATCAATAGTGAAGCCAACATAAAGTTTTTCTATCATACACATTAAAAAAATCTCTGACCTCTATTCGAACCCTCTAATTCAGTTTACTAGAACTGATCAAGAAAACTAGGGTTCATATTATCCCTTTGACAAAAATTCGTCAAGGGAAATACATTTCCCAAAATCTATGATAATTGCTAAAAAGTTATAGAACTATAATTTCCACATTTTCGAATTTATTTCATCAGAAGCCCAGAAACATAAAAAAAAAATTAATTCGCTCTATTAAACAGCAGACCTTACACGATCATTCGTGAATGAAAGTCACAAGACTGACAAAGATTGCTGCAGTCATGATGAACTCTACACGTTCAATCATTACTGACCATTTTAGCTCAGTTGAAATAGAGATAAAAGGCTGCATGCATCTGGTGCATCGTCCACTAATAATAATGTTTTTAATTGTGGGTTAATGGTTGAAGGTAGTCAATTATTGAAGAGAAGGAGAAACATCGACGAATGTGGAAATAAATACAATTATTTATTTTTACTATTTTATTTTGACTGATCACCCCAAACATCCATTATTTCTCTTCAAATAATGTTTTTAATTTAAAAAGTTTATTTGGACATTATCCTTTAAAGCATTGGACATCAAAAGGAAAATGGAGTTATAATAATTACTTCCTAGTGACTGAAAATCGTTTTCACAAAAATTAAAAAAATGAAAGTCACCTACTTACAAAAATTAAGGAAAAGTATTGCGGAAATAATAAATTTATTGAGAAAACGAACTGACAAAATACACAACAGTTAAAGATTTTTTTTCTATATATAAATCCACTTCTTGTGATTGAACCTTTGATTTCCGGATATCCACCAGACACGTCCATCTGTACTCAATCACTACCTTACACGATCAACCTGAACGTCAATAGTGCCTCGATATGCAATTCCGAATGACCGAGTAGCGTCTGCTTAAGGATTATATGAGTGGCCTATTATCAAAGACTTCTGTTAGAAAGCTGAAAAAAAGTAATTTTTGTAACGTTGCTTCAGTTTAAACCAAATCTAATGATTTATTTTCATGATTCAACTAGAACATTCTTAAATAAAATCATCAGAGACAGTTTGAATTGAACTTATAAAACAAAAATTGACTTTTTCTCCACTTTCTGAAAATGTCCATCTTTGATATGAAGCCACTTATATAACGAATTTATGATCATATTTTCATAAATTGATGAATATTTAATACCAGATAATAATTACTAAGAAAAATAATACTTATTATATATATTTTTTCTTTTTTTAGGCTGCCTTAATAATGCAAGTACTACAACTTTCCGAGGAACAGATAGCAATGCTCCCACCGGAACAGCGTCAGAGCATCCTTGTGCTCAAAGAACAAATAGCCAAGAGCACTCAACGTTGATTGATTGCTTTTAGTTTTAGTCCCTACAGCTTTACAAGAGGGTGAAGCTGTAGTCCAAGAATTATTTCAATATGTATATTATATCTAGAAATGAGTCAAGTAATTAAAAAAAAAACAACTTAATAAATGAATTTTATTTTTAATTATATAATTTTATTATTATATATTACATTGAATGTTTCTTAAACTGCTGAAACTGATCCACATGAGATCATTTGGACACCTTTAAATACAAAAAGGAGTATGAAATTTTTATTTTTGTTGCCATAATATTCTTCTCATTACCTCAAACAGTTATCTTTTGATTTGTCGCATTCTTAGGGACTTATGTATAAATGTATTCAAAACAACGTGTCAGCAAATTAAGATTTGCAATGCATTTATAAAAACATTTTTAAATTAAACTAAATTATAAATTTTATTGGCATTTATGTGTATTATTTATTCCTTTCCCATCAAAATCAGTTTCTTCTGTTTCTAAAAAAAAATAAAAAATTAATGTCAAGTTTACCTGCATACATTCTTCACAGTTTAAAAGTAATGGTTATTCATGTGTGAAAAATGTATATTAGTTAGGATTTATGATCTGTTAAACTATGTTTGCCATTTTGTTATCAAATTAGTAGCAATTTCACTGTTTTCTTATTTTGGAAATAAATTATTTCACAAAAACTAAAAACAGGTATTTCTGTAATAACTCAAGTTACAAAATAACATTTATAAATCCATGAATATTGAAAATATATAATACTTTCTAAGCATGCATAGAATATTGGTCAGTGAACAGTTTATAATATAAAAATAAGTTAATGATATATTTTATGAGATAGAATTTTTTTTTTATAATAAGACCTTAATTTTTCTCTTTTGTGGAACCTCTACACCTATCGCCCAGATGAAAGTCTAATATTTAAGCTCATATTAAAATATGTACTGGTATTTTTTATTCATTACTGGCTGCTTCCCCAACTAACTTCTGTCCATTCAAATCATAGGATTACTAGAGACTTGAGTCAGTCCCCCAATGCTATCTTGGTTGGAGTTCAGCCCCCCAACAAATTGCTATAGCATGAACTTAATGAACATATCAATCATGTATATTACAATTCTGACTAATCACTTCAACCAATCTTCTCTTCAATATATACTACAGTCAACCGCCCTATACTACAAATGGTGTCCTATTGTGGATTCATAAACTCACCTAAACTGTAAAAGGGATCATCTATTATAATGCTGTACTGTTTTAATTTTGTGTGATTTAATGTTTTTTTGTCATCAGGAAAGGCTTGAAACAATTCAATACCTCACTGATTTAGTGATTTGTCATATATGCAAATAGGATACATTCCAAAAAATATCCCCACCCTCTCAGGCCTCTCCACAGGCGTATTTACGGGGGGAGGGACTTTCGGGCTGAAGCCCCCCCCCCCAAAATGGTAAAATGCAACCATGTTTTATGGTAAAAAATATTAAAAAATTATGTTTTAAAATATTATTGCTCGTTTAATTACATTTAATAGGGCTTCAAGAATCACTTAAACACCATTTCATATAGGTAGTTAGTATCTTTCTGGTTTTCTAAAGTAATTATCGTTATATATATGAAAAATAAAGCTTCCGGGCTGAAGCCCCCCAAAATTAAATCCTGGATCCGCTAGTGGGCCATTAAAAAATTTTGGATTGATGGTTGACTGTAGTGAATAATTGAAGAAAAAAATGTGTGGGGTGATCAGTAAAAAAAAAATAGTAAAAATAAATAATTATATTTATTTTTATTTTTGCCGACATTTTGGCCCAAAGTTCAGAGTTCAGATGTCACAAGACAGCTCGTCTTGGTTTTGTGACAGCTCTTCACTTGACCAGACCTGATAAAGGGCTGAACTTTTGGCCGAAATGTTGGCAAAAATAAAAATAAATATAATTATTTATTTTTACTTTCCTGCCTATACTAGGTAAGGAAAGTATTGCAATCGGGTTAAATTTCTGATATGGGGTTTAGACAAATCTATACGTTTCAGAGCCCCCTGAGTCCGAAAAACATATTTTTAGCCATTGGTCTGTTTTTTTGTTTAAAGGTAATGAAATTTCCTACAAAACTATATAAAAATCGTTTATTTTGGACAACTATTAACGAAGTTACAGCTATTCAATTTCCTATGTAAGATTACGGGTTCATATCCTGGTATCAGGAAGGGGTGAATGAGAGAAAAAAAGATGACTAAGTGAAAGTAAAAAAATCTGTTGCCCGCATCACACAAGCTTCACCATTTCCTCTACTTTTAACAGTGTTATTATTGTTTGAGAAAATTAAGCTATGGCAAAAAGTTTTTAATCAGCAAAATTAGAGAGTATTGAAATTTTTACACTGATCTACCTTAAGTCGGTTTACATTGCTTTAGTATATCAAATAAATCCTACTCAAATCATGATTTGATCATTTTTCAGGAAAATAAATCTAATTCAATTTTTTTTTTTTGTTTCATCATGAACATATGTAAAGATGTAAAAACTTTTCTGAAATAGGTAGGAAAGTTGTGTGAGTGGACACACCAGATTTTTTTTTTTACTGATGACCCCAACCATTCTTCTCTTCAACCATTAAAAAAATTCTTGAAATTTCCTTATTATTCAAATGCATCTTTTATAAATGATAATAGTGGATTGATGGTTGACTAGTGAATAATGGAAGAGAAGTTATTTTTATTCTCTATTTTGACTAAACACCACAACCAACCTCTCTTTCTTTATAAATAATAATATAATTACTTTATTGAGATACATTACAATCTGTCACATTCAAGGACAATGGTAATAATGATAAAGAGTAGCTCCTTTATAAATAATAAATTATTTTTCATATTTGAGACATACAGGTAGGTAATAAAACATATATATATACAATTATTAAATTATAAAATGTAGACTGTAAGGCATAGATACATCTAAAAACATGCTCATTTTTCGTACAAATATTCTTAGATTATTAGTAACTATAATGTAAGTGTTAGTTTATATTTAGGATTTATTAATAATGGTAGTTATGTTTATTGGAAAGTAGGAAGGCTTTCTTTCATTTGATTTTTAAAAAACAGATAAACAGCAACCAGACTAGCGGCGAATGGATGAACTAAAGAAAGACAACTGTTATTTGTTTGTAAAGCAGGCCCTACACGGTCATTCATGAATGAACTTCACAAGAATGGCTAAGAACAAACAGTTCATTCATTTGAGATCAAGAACTGTTCTTTTCAAACGTTTGGCGATTTCTTTCCCACCTCATCCACAAATCCAAACGGATTTGTGACACCTCCAGCCGCGTTAGAAAATTTTGTTTTGTATTAGGAGAGTAGTAATATAAAGGAGCTCGACTGATAGGCCAGGCCCTAGCCTCGTTAGTGCTGCTGCTACCTTGTGACGAAAATTTGAACAATATTAGTTCTAAAGACTGCCGGAAGATAGCAGCACCAATGGGCTGCGGCCTGCTTATCAGTTGAGCTCCTTTGGATTCCCACTCCCCTAATACAAAATAAAATTTTCCAGCGCGAATTGGTACATCGCAGGCGTTCTGGGCGGTCCTGGCCTCTTGTGGCTTTAAACCGAACTACAATTTGATTATTTTCAGATTTTTTTTTTTTACCTGTTGCTTTCTTTTGACAGTTAATTTTCTATTGTCAATATTTTTATTTATTTTTTGTATGGTTGACATAAATTTATAAATATTCTTTGTTAATATTTATTCATGTATAATAGTTACTTCATTAACACAATAAATTTGTTGTTAAGGTCGGCACAAAAAACATAAATAATTTTTTGTACATTTTGTGTACTTTTAATGACTGCAACTCCAACTAACTTCTCATGTTATTTTCACATATATTAGATCACTGATAATAAATAGATTATGAAAAACAGAATAATATTCCATTTAATTGTCAAAGTAGCAGAGCTTGGAACAGAAAAAAAAACCTTTATTTTTAAAATGTTTTAGTATCACTAGGACTTTTATTATCGATAGTTCTTCAGTTCTTTTGTAACCAGAACTTTCCTCCTGTTTTCTGGTAAACGTTTTACACATTTATTTTTAAAAACTCTTATGTAAAAGTTCTATTGATTTTATTAAAAAGTTGATTTAGAAAACAATTTTTAGATTTTTATTCTTAGTTACTCAAACAAACAAAACAAAGAATTGTGTGTCTCTGATCTACACCTAATTACTGTTCATTTAACGTTGTTTTTTTTTTTAAAAAACTTTAATAAATAAAAGTTAAACTTTTACCATAAATCTAGACTTAAAAAAAAAAAAGTTCCTTAGAACTTTTATTTTAATAAGTTTTTTCCTAAAAAGTTTATAGGAACTGTTAAAATGCAACTTCTTATAAAAGTTTCAATCCAGTAGAGTAGACTTGGAAATCGATGACATAAAATCAACTTCTTATTTTCAATAGTGGTTTTTTTTTTCTTTTTCTTGTTTAACAGATCCTCTTGTGACAATGAATAGAGAAAATATAATAAATAAATTAAGAGAAATTATAAAAAAAGTATAATTTTACATTTTAAAAAAATCATATAATACAATTAATAACTGGATAATAACATTTATTTTACAAAATAATAACAATAAAATACATTTATTTTTAGGAACGAGAAAAGATCAAACGAGTTTTGGTTTTTTTTCTTGTACGCCTTCTATCTCATCAAGTAAATTTCCAAGTTCTTCTTCATCTACGTCATCATCCATTTCACTGAAAAAATCCGTAATCGCAGCCTGTTTCGCTCCCTGAAAAAGTGAGAAATATTATTAGTAATAGCTTTAAAACCGAAACAGTCTAAGATGTCTTTAACCATATGCCCACAGGCACCATTTGCCAAGAATTTTTCATTCAACACATCTAATCATCATTTATTCATACTTTTCTAGGACTAATTAGCCCAGCTGATTACATGGTAATTTTTTTTTTAATATAAACAAATAAAAAATAATAATAATCATAATAAATAATTCTACAAGATTTATTTTAAAATTAACCTGCTGCTTTGTTTCTGTGACATCGAGACAGTTACTATCAGATAGACCCGTCTGATTAAGGACCCTCAACTTCCCTTGGACCAGTGGCCAGAGGAAGTCATCGGCAGTCTTATGAGCTATAAGGTACTGTATGAGGACATTTGACTGCTGCCCTATCCTGTGAGCTCTATCCTCCGCTTGGACAAGTTCCTGTAAACAAGTTTCACAAAGAAGTATAACACTTTAATTTGTATGCGTTAACAAAACTGAAGTGAAATGAATATGTAGACTGTGTATAAATCCCTTTTTCAGCTCTCAGAAGCGATAGATTTTTATGAATGATGTATCAAACAACTGGGAATTTCACGGAGAAGTATATTTAAAAACTTGTAACCTTACTAAAACTAGAATAAAAGTCATTTAAAAAAATGAGAGGTTTCAAAAGTTGACGGATCAAGACAGAATAAATTTTACTATAGTGATTTTGACACAAATAACAACACAGCTCTTTTAAAGCACTGAAATGTACCATTTTCCATATAAATCATACATTTTTACCACAAGCCTCTTAGGTGCTATGATTATCATGGGATTCTTATCAAATGTTTAGCATTTAAAAATTAACATATTGCTATATATGAGTCTTCGACCAACTAAAAATATATTGAAAAGGTAAATGGAGGAGAATGATGCAATAAAACCTTGGATAATAAAGAAGAAAACTTTTTGATATTGTTAATAAAAAAATAAATAAGGCTTTTGTACTCTTTGCAAGTGAAAGGGCTTCAAACTACAGTACATAGATGTTCCTCACTGAGATTCAAGAATAATACTTTAAATTCTGAGTAAAGATCGGTGGATTAGCACAGCCTTAATATTCATAATCATGAAATTCAGAGAAAAACAAAATTACCCCAAAATATATATTATTTACAGTCACTATTTAATAGTTATAGGAAATTAAAATTAAAATTGCATCAATAATTTCAATAAAATCTTTTTTTTAGTTGATTTTTCTAATATATACTTGAAGAAACTAAAACCTTCATACCATATTGTTTTTGTTTTTTTATGATTTAAAAATATGCAATTCATTTAATTGAATTGAAACTTAAAATTACATTTGCTCCTTTTAATAATATTTTGATCTGTTATTGCTACATAAAAACTGAAAAAAAAAAATCCTAAATGCAATGAGTCAAATTCGATATTACCATAATATTCTGAGAGTTGAGAATAACACTAAATGTAGTCCTAAGTTCGAGGATATATTAGATGATTTATTGGTAGATTCAATGATGAACCATGTCATGAGGAGGGATTGTTAACAGAAAGAAAAAAAAAAAATGTTTGGAAAGCAGCTTTGTTAAATTTTATTATTTACTTTTAAGTATTGGTACTGGTGAGGAGGGGGAGGGGGATAACTAGCCCAGAAAGTGGATCTTGTGGTCCTTTTCGCCAAACTTTGACAGCTACCTTGAAGTTGCCACCGCATATTCAACAGAATGGGAAAGATGTGGGTGGGGTGGCCGAACTGGCAAACATGTGTGCACAGCACTGCCGTAGCCAGGCAACCTGAGACAATGGATTTAAAATAGTCACAAGTTCGTGTCCCGATGTTCGGGAATCTTCTAAATCCCAACCCACACCCCCTGGTCCGGGAAAACTGGCCTTAAAGGCGAGGAAGGGGAGGACCCCCCCCCCCAAAAAAAAGAGAAAAAAAAAAGGAAAAAAAGAGTGAAAGTCAAGATTCATTTCCCGTGGCCGTGGCGGAAATTGAACTCACAACGTTCAGAACTGGGCACTCTGGGATCCATGCTCCAAAATGCACAGCCATCCTTCCTTTTCTATGAAGTAACTTTAATTATTATTATTATTTATCCAGGATAATAAAATTTCCCAACTTTTCCATGTCTGTTAACACACTGTTAATAAAAATATTTTATTTTATTTTTAAAATTTGTTTATTTAAGAACATCAATAATAAAAAACTACTTAAGTTTATTCTAATATCTTACTCCAGGGTTCCAAAACAGTTCAGCAAATACAACTAAGTTAGCAGCTGTTAATGTAATTCCAGTATTGGCAGCTTTTAATGAAAGCACTGCTACTCTGAAGTTTGTTTCCTCCTGGAATTGATCAGAGACGTTTTTCCTCTCTTCGGAAGACACCGATCCATCGATGCGAACGTAACTATAATAGTCGAATAGATATTATGGTATAATGAAAACAAATATCTTGAATCAATAGTGAGAATTATCTTTAAAAAATTAGATTAAATAATTAATTACTACTTACTAAGTTTTATTTCTCTCCAATGTTTCTGAAATGGCATCCAATACGCACTTATGATGCGCGAATATTAAAAATTTCTTTTCTTGTGATATAAGCTGTTCAACATACTTACTAAAATAATAAATAAAAATATTCAAATAAAAAACATTCCATTGAAATAAATAGCTGAGATTTGAATAAATATTACCAAATAGAATTGAGTTTAGCTTTCCCCGTTTCGGCAAAATATGCCAACAATGTACTCCTTTTATCGGCTCCATTGATAGTAGCATGGTTTAATTTTTTTGCAAATGCATCCATACATTTATTATTCGTTTCTGGTTCAATAACAATAACTTGCCTGCAAAAAATAAAATAAAATTGGTATTTAAGTTTAAGGAGTAGTGTGAACACACCAGTGATAAACAGGTTGGACTTTAAATGTAAATAATTGATTTAAAGGTTCCAGTTTTTTCTATATTGGAGAACAATTCCCCTCTATTGACGGTATGAACAAAGTTCCCAAAAGAAAATTTTTAAAATGCAATTCATTGTTGTTTCTATATTGCCCTTGAGATCAGTGTGTTTCATACCTTCCTACTAACAGTTTTGCTAAGATTAAGTAGAACATTTATGTTATCTTATCTTTATGGTTATATTTATAGTTAAATAAAGATTTTAGAATTTTTCTGAGGAATGTCCATTACTGGTATCGACCCCCTGTCCATTACTAGAACAATTGAATTTTGGGGTGTCCGTCACTAGTGCAAAAATGTTTTTTTTTTTTTTTTAAATGGTGATTATACCTGCATAACTGAATATTTTTTCAATTTTAAAGTGTTAAATAGAAAAATGAGATGCTAGAGATTCTAAACGTCAAAAGGAGAAATTTATAACTATAATAATTACGGCAGCATAAGCCAAATTTCCTTGGCTATATCCATCACTGGTTCGCTTACCCTAATTAGATTGAAAAGTGAAATCATTTTCAAAAGTTTATATAAATTTATAGTTGTGTAAATAACATGTTGAAAGTTAATTTTAGATAATTTGTTTTGGCGGGAATAGCGAATAGCCTTCCTCTTTTATATCGGGGAACTAGGTTATTTACACTCGTGATTATTAAAATAAAACCCCGGCACTGGATATAGTCTTTATGAGAGAGTTTAACTGTCGTTGGGAATTCGGGAATCTAATAGCTTTTGTGACACTGAGTGAGAAGAAACAATAAGAATACATATATGAAATATGGGACTTAGTAAACACACTTTGAATGAATTGACTCACCTGGTTTGTTATTCTTCAAATGTGGGGCATAAAGGACAACTAAATAAAATGACTTTTCACTCCTGTATAATAAAACAATTTATGTTGACAACTGTACTAAATAAATGCATTGAAGTCTTATAACTGTAGGCTTGATATTCTTGATCTTCAATGTCCTGCCTCTCTCATCTCAGGTAACGTCCTCTCGCCTCCGTGTCTCTCTTCTCCTCTCTCTTCTTCCCGGCGTCCTTCTGCAGCTGTTGTTAGCTACCTGCTCTGTCCTTTTTCCAGCGTCCTTCTTCATCGATTGTTCATCGATATGAGACTTTTAAATGAATAATTTGTCCATTTCACAATTGAGTACAATCCACAGTGCAACCTCACATTCCTATATATTCCTTCTCATTTCTTCACACAATGTCACATAAAGGAGTAAATATCGGGAGATGTCTACTACAGTTGTATATAAATTACTTTGGTAAACTCTGACTGATCGTCATTTGTAACGTTCTCTAAAAATGAAACAATAGGTTTACGATAAATATTTGTTGCAAATTGGTTTCTGAGTTCTCCATGGTAGTTAAATTTTGAGATATTTTATCCAAATGTTTAAAACAGTCGTGATTATTTAATTTTTTGGCACTGTATTTTTCCCTTATCGATTTTCTAACTCGATGTCACATTGAAATACAATTTTGAATTATAGCTCATTACAAAGAGGATGAAATGCTGAATATTTTCCTAACTTATAATATGTAGATCACATTTTTAGTTTCTGAGATATTTTAATCCAAATACAAAAATTAGTCAACGCGAGCTGACTATCTGAATGAGCATTACATAGCTGAGCATGATGACAATAGACTCATTTAATATCCACCAAATAAATTGCTAAGCGGACCTAAAGAAGTTTTCACTTAAAAAAAAAAAAGTGGTACAATACTTATTTAGATCATTGAAATAAAAATAATTATTTTAATTAAGCATGAAAAATTAAAATATTTCTATCTTTTGAATGCATTAACCTTGATTTCACCTTATATTTTTAGATAATGAAAAAGCTATATGTATCCTTTATTTAAAAATTAATGTTGATACCTTATTTTAGACGGAAGTTGGTCAAGAACTTCAGATTTAAGGCGCCTTATCATAATTCTCTCTTCAAGAATAGTTTTAAGTTCTTCAAGGTTCGACGATCCATTGAAATTCCAACCAAATCTATCTTGCTTTCCTTCACAGTATCTAATTCCGAATTCGATCCTGTAAAAATATTATGAAAACAACTATAATAAAAATGTGAAAATTGGTCAGTACTTATATACAAAGACCACATAATCAAAATGGGAAGAAATGAAGAGCTAAAGAGACAAGAATCCTGAAATCTTGACAAATTATTAGTTAACAGTGGATTTAAAAGTGATTTAAGAAATAACATTATTTTAATGTATCAATCAAAGATAATACTGATGGTTAGATAAACAAAATATAATATAGAAGGGAATTAAGGAAAGGTTTGAAATACGATGAGAACTTATTAAACATGCACTGTATAAAGCAGTAAGTATTAAGTACCACTGCATTAATAGTCTGTGGTACACACCCCTTTTTATCAAGTTATTAACATCCGCCTGAAACTTTGTAAAAATCTTCATCTCATCGTAACCTACAAATATTTTATTAAAAAAAATTCTTGGGGTGTTTTCAATCTGGAGATTGGCAAACTTTGAATATTTAATTAAGTACTAAATACCCATTTGCTTTCCACTTGGATCGTAAGATAATTTGAGCGAAAAGTCAAGAAAAAAGCTGGCCTTAAAAAATATTAAGGTGTTTGGTGTGATCTACACTCCCAAATTGCCAAAATAATTTTGAAGGCCACCTTTTTTATCGATTTTGTGATCAAAGTATCTTACAATCCCAGTGGAAACCGAATGGGTATTTACTAGTTTTAAGTACCTGATTAAATAGAAAAAGTTTACCGACCTCCAGATTGAAAACGTCCCAATTTCGAGAATTTTCGTAAATAAAATATTTTAGATTACCATAACATGAATCTATTTACAAAGTTTCAGTCGGATATTAATAATTTAATGAAAAGGGGCCTGTACCACGGACTACAAGCAATAAGTATTAACTTATCAATAGTACAGGAAATAAGATTCTACTCTAAAATGTTAAAAATTATTATGTGAAAGAAATTTACTTTTTCTAAATACAGACTGAATCTAAGATTAGACTTATAAAGAGGTAACGCATGCTAACTGTAACGCATTGATGTTCTTACATATCTTTAAACAAAGTCGGCTGAAGGGCTTTAATTTGGGTAAATAGTTCTGCGGGCCTCGACAGTGCAGGGGTTCCGCTCAAAAGTATAACTCTCTTACACTTTGCAACCAGTTCGAAAGCAGCTTTTGTTCGTTTCGTTTTAATACTTTTCAGGCTGTGGCACTCGTCCTATTAAAATTAGTTAGTAATTTTCAAATTTATGTATTAAAGAGAGAAATACTTTATTTATAAGTAGTGATGTACTACTACATATGATTATGATATATATAATACATTTATTTAATCTTGATTGATGGATTCAAAAAAGCTCTGTAAGTAAAGTCTATTAAACAAGATTAATTTCAGTTTCTTATACTTATGTATTTTCAATTTGTTGGGAGAGTTCATGACAGGCATTTTTATTTTGATTATCATAAGCTGTAAAAATTTATTTGTCAATTTTTCTTCTACATATTTAAAAAAAAAAACACTTTATCACATTTTATAGAAAAAAAAATCTATATTTAATATTAAAAAATCTATAAAAAGAATGCTTGGTAACCCAAGAGACCCCAGGACATGGCTCTAGGGTGAGTTTTGGACCCTTCAGGTTTGAACAGGATCAGAATTCACATACCTGGGCTCGCAGATCGCTGGTGATAACCGGATGGATACAGAGATAAATAAGAGAATTTTGTTGGCCAACCGTTGCTATTATGGTATGAATCAACACATGAAAAGCACCCTAGTGACTAAGTTTAGCAAAGTAATCCTCTACAAGACTCTTATCAGACCGGTTTTAAGTTATGCATCAGAGATCTAGACGATAACCAAGGCAGTCTAGCAGGACCTCCTAATAGTTGAACAAAAAATTCTAAGAAGAATTTATGGTCCAGTGTGTGTGAATGGAGAGTGGAGAAGGAGGAAAAATCAGGAGATCTACCAGCATTTTAATAAGGCCAATATAGTCAATTTTATAACAATATAATAAATTAATTTTCTGATGTTATATTCTAATAATCACAATGTTTGTACCACTCCATTTGTACTTTGATTTCAGTATTCAAAATTAATTTGCTAATATCATATTGTAATAATTAAAATGTGAGTATACACTGGCCAGTGTTTCAACTGCCTCCCGCAGTACTACATCCTACGTCCTGATGAAGACCTGCAAAGTGGATCGAAACGTCGGCAAAAATTATATAATACTATTTGTATAATTTAGTATTTATTTGACCGCACCCCCCAATCAACTCCTCGCATTTTTTAAAATTTTCTTTTTATCTCATTTCAGGAATTAAATTAATTTTTTTTCTCTCAGTTTATAATTAATTATATTTGTCTGTTTTTCTTTCTCTATTTTTTTTTCTTCATGCATACTGAGACACCAAGGTGACCAGGCACCCACTCAACGGCAACCTTGTTATGCTCAGCAAGGTTGTTAAGCGCTGCACTGCAGTCTTTAACAAAACGTGGATAGGTATAATAACTATTTAAGGCACCTATTGCAGCCTGACAACCACACAATGTAAAAAATTTAAAACAAATGAGAATAAAATACTTGCAAAGAAGAAAATTATACATTAAAAAGTTGACTTACGAGTATCATGACACCGAAACCATATGATTTCAGCAAATCCTTCTTAGTCCCCATTAGATCATAGGACAATATCACAACTTTAGCTCTCTCAAACTCATCTTTACTGCTTGTCAAAACATATATCAAATAACTTGGAACACGTGGTAAATTCCTTCTGATTTCTTCCTCCCATTGAAACCTGAAATATATAACATATAATGATAAATAAATGATAAAAAAATCATGAATTAAAAAGCCTACTTTTGTCTGCTTGAAGTGTAAATATGTTTAATGCCTTTTTAGTATTGTATATTTTTACAAAATAATGACATAGTGCCTTGTTCAGGAAATGTTTTTAAACAAATAATTTTGAAGGTCTCTGACTTGAAGGAAAGGTACTTGTGATTTAGCTGTTCACCACGGAACCTATCTTCTTATCTTGTGTAATCTCTTCTTATCATTCCTCCCTGCTTAGTTTTTGTGGATTATTCAACTGTTTTCAGTTTTGTTTTTGTTAAATTTGTTATTTTCTATTTAAAATGGATATAATAAAACTTTTGCACTTGCTATCTTCGGAAGAAGCTCTGAAATACTTTCAGAAGTTCGGAATAATTCCAAAGATGAAATTGTGTGAAGAAGAACATTAAATGGAGTTTGATAAGAAGAAAAAATGGAGATGTTTTCGTAGGAGTTGCAGAAAAAACATTTCTATAAGAAAAGGAACATGGTTAGAGGGGTCAAGAATTAATTACTTTTTTAAAGGCTTAAAATTTATTTATGGCTGATCTCATAATTTAACAAAAATTGAGTGAGACAAAGAGTAGCTGAAACTATCCAACAGAAGTTTTTGAGAGAGGTTTGTCCCCATAACCTTTTATATAGGTCAACTAAAACAATTGGAGGACCTGGAAAAGTGGTTGAAAGTGAAAAAATCATGTAGGGAGAGTGCTCTCTGAACAATAGATGTTTAGTAGAGTTTGTCAAGAAACTGACGAGTGTTTCATTGTAAAAATAATATAGAAGAGAGAAACAGTATATATTCCGAATATTGGAAAGAATACAACACTCAAAAACTAAACAAAGCGAACTACAACCATTTCCAGGTGAATAACCGTTATAACTTTGTCAATCCTTCAAGTGGGACCCATACTCAACACATGGAATGATTATGGGGCTCAGCTAAGTGGAGGAATAATAAAACATCGAGGAACTGCGAAGCAACATCTGGATTCATATTTATGTGAATTTTTATGGTGACGGGTCCACAGAGAAGAAGACCCCTACCTCGCTATTTTAAATAGCATTAGGCTATTTTGTCTTTCAAAATAAATAAAATTTAAAATACATGCGGTTTGTTATTATTACATTTCTTTTTGTCTATTTCAATTTCCATAAATATGAATAAGAAGGTAGTTATTATCAGTATCAGAATTATCAGTGTTCAGGTTATAAACAATGGCAGGTAGTAGTCTGTGGCGACCAGTTAAATCACAAGTACTAAAGCAAAAATAATACAATGAAACTTTTTAAAATAAGTTTTGAAAATAACCCAGAACAATTGTTGAAACATCAATAAATAAATATATGTAATAATCATACATATTTTATTTAATCGGAAGAAATTAAAGTATATATTGATTTTTCTTTTATCTATGATAAAATAATTATAATAAATTTTACCTCATAGAAGATGGACAAACTACAAGAAGGGGCCATTCGTCTCGATAATAATCAGCGATTCCTAAAGCTTGAATTGTTTTTCCAAGGCCCATTTCATCAGCAATCAAGCAACGGCCTCCTTTCGAAACTCCAAACCTATTTATTAAATATAACCTTTATAATAAAAACCTTTTTCTTGAAAAATAATAGTCATCAAGTTCTATTTAAGTTGAAGCAATAGCTACTATGCATTCTCTATTAAAGCATTAATGTACCACAAATCACTATGGAACATTAATAGGCTATATAATATATAAATATATATTACAGTTATAAATTTGAAATTTTTATAACTAAAACTAAAGAAACCACTCAGTAACCTAGTTGCTGCCATAACAAAGCGTTTCAGACAAAACTTGTTATTTTTTCCAACACATTCAGTTTTATATTTATTATTTAATAATAACAGCTAATATTTATTTCTCAGCAGTCCCTAGAAATAAAGCTTGACACTTCCACTTTGAATAGTACATTATGTAAGTAATCACCATGAGTTGCCAAAAAGGATCACACGGCAAATAATATTAGTTTTCTAAAATTATTATTCATTAACTTTTTGTCAATATCGACTATTTTTTAGACATATTTTTATGCAATTTCTAGTGAAGTTTTATCCTCTAATCCTCTGGAGTAACGGATTATAAATATAACATTGAAACACTGTTTTAATAACATAAATTATTGTATCATTAATATTTGCTCTACTCTACGAATACTTTTTTTGTGTACAAATTATTGAAATATTAATGTTATAAAAGTTGTATCAGATTTTAAATTTTGGCATTATATAAAATTAATGCAAAATGAATTTTCTAATCGATATCTACCATTATTTCAAGTTAAAAAAATTATAGTGAACCCTTTTGGCCAAAAAACCAGGGTGTAAGAATACTTTTTTTGTGCACTGTATGTCACCAATATTTTTCTGAAAATTTTGTTTCAACCTGGAAAAATATTACTTTTGTTTTCTCTGTCAGTTAATTATCAATTTTTTTTTAAATATTGTAATCGGCACCCTTCCTCATTCTAATCCATTTTCATTTGTGAAATACTCAATACCCTCTATTCGCTTAGAGTTTCCAAAGGAATTGAATACTTCTTACAAAGCACATCAAATCCATAGGGTTTTTAATTATAAAATTACTTCTTAGTTTATATTTATTCTTTCTTTTCTTTTACACAAACCAGCCAGCAAGGACCACGCGAATATCATTTCCGTTTCCTCTTCACACCCTCAGCCTTCCTCTTACTCCAATACTCTCTCATCCTCCTGGACTGTTCCTCTCGCTCTTCCTTAGTCCATTTTCTCCCTCCATTTTCGTCTCTCCCTCCCACTGACAAGAACACCAACCCCTTTCAGTTTTTCCCTAAAAAATTCTCAATCCAAGCAATCTTTATCCATGATTTTTAGACTGTCTAGTTCCTCTTTTATTTGTTTTACATATCCCCCCATACTTTTATAGCTGAAAACTTTGTCAAAAATTTTCTTGTTTAGTCTTTCACTATTCATTATGACCATGTGCCCGTAGAACCTCAGTTTTCTGGTCCTAATGACTGTTTCCAAATTTCTGTATATTTCTTTATTGGATTTTAGTCTGTATCCCTCTTTCGTTACCTTGGGTTTGTAAATTCTCCTCAGAATCTTCCTCTCAATCTTCAGGATTTTCTTTAGGCTCGGAAGGCTGACTGTTTCCAACCATACAATATTACATGTCTTGCTACTGTACAGTAATGCCTTATTTTTTCATTTGAGGACAAATTTTTCTTGTTGTAAACATTCCTAATGGCGTTATATGTATTCATTATTGTAAAATAAAATTTTGTAAATATAGTTTTTAGATAACTATATGATGTTTGACACCCATTATTATTTTTTTAAATTATATCTCCACTAATTCAGCGACTTTAGAAATCTGATACCACTAATCTCAATTAAGATACTATTGTAATTAAAAAACAACAAAAAAAAAAAACAGTATCCATCTCAACAACTATTAGGACCAAAGACCAATCTGTATAAAATTTTCACCTATTCCCCGAACATTGAAAATTCCTGAATTGTAAATTAAAGATAATTTATTACTTACTGAATACCTTCCTTTTGAAAAGGAAATAAACTATTAAGTAATGCAGGTTCAATACGAGATATATCAACTTCTTTATGGTTGACAGTAAAGTTTGAAGGATTTGAAAAAATCTAAAAATAAAAATAAATTAAATTTAAATATCATAAAATTATATATTAATGGTAATAAAAAAATAATTATAATTGATACCTTCAGGACAGAGGCAGGTAGGTTTCCAATGACTATTTGAGGTGAAAGAGGATTGGTAATTTTTTTGAAATTTTCATACTCCTTAAGAGGAAAACACCACGATTTCCTCTGAGGATCTTAAATTGTAAATAAAAGATCAGTAATTGTATAACAGTAAGATATTGCATAAAAGACCAAAAATATTTACCATAGTATCTTCCAGGTATTTGCTTGCAAATATCTATTAATCTTTGATTGAAACCAACGTCTAAAACAAATGTATCTTTGTCGATTAAACTGACTGTCCCTTGAAGAGCATCAGTGGTGACATTCCAAGTTTTTTCAACAGGAGTAGTTTTACTGATCGCATTATTTACAGAATTGCTGGGATTATTTTTCTTGATAGACCAAGTTTTTAGAGGTGGGTAACTAGGCAAAGACTTTTCAGTATTGAGAATTGATTTATCAATAGTTTTATAAAATGAATTAGCAGGAAAAGATTTTGGAGGTGGATCAGGCTGTTTATGTGGACTATTGTGGTTGAGGGCTAGTCTTGCAGCTCTCCTCTCAAGAGCTAATCTCCTGTTTTCTTCAATTCTCTTTTTTTGTTCTTCAGTTAAAGAAGACATTGTAATGTGACAGGCAACGCTAGCTAAAATTCATACTAAACATTTTTTTAACAAACCTTGATAATATCAACATTAAAATGCTATTTCCCAATCATACAGTATGACAGCACTACTCACTATAATTCAACAATTTCGAATTTTCAAAACAAACCAACGAGGTCGAAAATAAAAATTCCAAATAGCTAATATAATAGAGAGAACTACAATAAAATGGCATGGATACTCAACTGAGTTAAGTTGCTAAATTACACAAGGTGGAACAATTGTAATATAAACTGATAGGCAAAAAATTCCACCCACTTGATTTTTTCATGTTTTCATCTAAAAATATTTCTGCTTTGGATTGGTCTATTGTTTTTAATGAATAAATAGGTAATCTTTTTGTTTGTTTTCAATTAGGAATGTTAATATAGAGGACAATAACCATTAATCCTCAATTCAATGAAATGATTCTAGATTCCAATGTTTACTTTCTATGGAATCAAAATGTTTATTCAGTATTAGTTCAGTGCCGTTTCTTGCAGCACATTTCTTACTCTCCAGCTTTTAATTTTTTCAATATTAAGTTTAAAAATGCCTCTTATTGCTGAGGATGTTGCGCGTGGTATGGCACTTATTGATGATGGGCGTTCCATTAGATATGCAGCTAATGCCATCAGAGTTCCTTATGAAACTTTAAGAGTTTTCAGGAAACTGGTGCTTACAATAGAAGACCCGGTTCTGGAAGGCCTACGGTAACAGAACCACGGGATGACCGGTTTTTGACTTTGAGAATTTTACGAAACCGGCACCTTACCGTTGTTCAAGCGATTCATCAGCTCGAAGAAGATCGAGGTGTGCAAATTTCTGAACGTACCGCTCGAAGAAGATTAAATGAGTATGGATTAATGGCTTTTCATCCAGTAAGAGGACCAGAGTTGACCAGAACTCACAGAGTAACATGGCTGGCTTTTGCTCGAGAACACAGCCATTGGACTATGGACGAATGGAGTGCTGTACTTTTTACAGATGATTCAAGATTCGCTCTTCGATCTCCAGACGGGCGTGAAAGGGTGTGGAGAAGAAGAAACGAAAGATATGCAGCCTGTAATTTTTCCCAGAGCCAACCTTTCCAACGTGGTTCCTTAATGGTGTGGGCTGGGATTTCAATGGAGATTCGCACAGAATTGGTTATTGTTCGTGGAGGGTCTTTGACGGCCATTCGCTATGTATATGAGATTTTGGAACCTCATGTGTTGCCTATCCTCAACGAAATCGGTGATCGTTCTATTCTAATGCACGATAATGCACGCCCACATGTCGCCCGCATAGTGCAGACGTTCCTTCAACAGAACAATATTGAGGTTTTAGCCTGGCCAGCACGTTCTCCAGATTTGAACCCCGTTGAGCATTTATAGGATAACCTCGGAAGACGAATGAGAGCGCGTGCAACACTTCCTGATACACTGCAAGGCCTTGAAATGGCTCTTCGGGAGGAATGGGCTATCCTCCAGCAAAGGGACATTTCCCGACTGGTGGAAAGTATGCCGAGGCGTCTTCAAGAAGTAGTGAAGGCAAGAGGAGGAAACACGCGCTACTAAACGATGATGTAATTAATTTCTTTTAGAATAATAATGGTTCGGTTTTCAATTTTTTTTCTCTAATCTTTCTTACCCAATTACATTTTGATTATTAAAGGTAAAAAAGATTATAAAATTCCATAAATACTAAGTATTATCTACAAATACCATGTATTATATAGAAATACAACTTTTTTTACAAGTGGATGGAATTTTTTGCCTGTCAGTGTATATCAAATGTTAAGAATCTTTTGAAGAACTCAGTAAAAATCGATACTTATAAGTCTGAACTTCAAGGTATAAGTTAGGATGAAACAAAATTGTCAGGAATTTCAGTCATTCTATTCTAATTTTAAGCATTTTAATATTGTGTATAAGAGAGGTGTATAAAGAGAGATAGAGTGAGAGAAGGGAGAGAAAGGGAAATTAAATGTTAAATATTTATATAGATATATTTTTACATTATACTCATAATATATATATATATATATATATATAATTATACTCATATATAGTAACCATTTCTGTATATTTATATGTAAGTTTTATTTATTGTCCTACGGATTAATTAGTATACTGTGTGTATAGCAACCCAATATAATTGGGCAGCAAGCTTTTATATTTTATATGAAAAGTGTTTCTCTGGGTTAACATAGTCGGGAGTTCCTGTCTCGACTTCCAAACGGTACCCACATATTTGAGGCGAAACGTTGGCTAACTTAATAATAAAAAAAATTGACTGAAATTCCTGACAATATTGTTGTATCTTTACTATTGATCAGTCGACTACTTACCCACCTATAATATAAGTTACTTTATTGGTTTGAATATTTAGCAATGGGCGCGTATTATTTCTAAATTTTCTGTGTACGTATTTCTTGAAAACAATTTGAAAAATAGCCTACCAAAAATCATGCGGCAGTACAAGTACTGGCAGGAGGGACAATTCTCGACCTCCTGCTGCGAGAAGACTACTATCTCTTTAAAATAAAAAGAGAAGGTTCGGCGGTTCTACCGGAACATCTAAAGATGAGAATTGAAGAAGACCAAAGAAGATGGAAAAGAATTATCAGGGAGGACACAGCTGATCAACGGAACTGGCGATGGATGGCAACTCGGAAGGGGGCTACTCTAAGAAAGTACTTCCCCATGGTCAAGTCACGATTAGATGCAAAATGGGTCCTCCCGGACAACTGGATGTCTCAACTCCTCACGAGACATGGGAGCTTTCGAGCGAAGCGAACTGCAACGTTCCGGAGACCACCGAACATGTGGTCGTCGAATGCACTGTCTATGAGGCACTAAGAGCTAAGCTCGTGACAGATACGGGGATATATACGCTGACAGAGAGCATGTTCCCCAGCTAATGAGCAGAGAGAATTACCCACATTATTGGGAATTCGTATACGGGTGAAAAGATGCTGTAGGCCTTACACATTGTAATCTGGGAAGAAGACAAGGACGTTAAGACAAGCTGCAGCTGCTTCGAGGGACGGCTTCAGGAGGGAGAAGGAGAAAGAATAAAGAAAAGGAAAAGCGTGGGCTTGAGCACACAAACAAGTCTTCACCTCATATATAATAATGTTAAACAAAATTTTAATTAAATATACCTATACTGCCAGCAGTGGCATACGCATACTGCGATACCCTACGGCTGCTGCAACCCGTATTGCCTGTAAGGCAAGGAAGGGAGAGAAAAAAAACCTGGGTTCACGTGAGTGTACACATAATAAAAGTATGTGAAATTTCGAATAAATCTTGCTCACTATGCTATATTTCAGGTAAGTGTAAACTCAAGATATGTGTTGAAGGTCCTAAAGACGATGTTGCATGATTAATTTATTATCATTTATTATTATCATTTACATTTAATATTATCTATGTAAAATTGACCGGTTTTCTTTTCATTTCAATTTATATTTCCAATTAAGTCTAAAACAAAATAACTTGATAAATTTAATTGATGTCATGCCATATTTAACGTTTCACCATTCAAAGAAATCTTTTTTAATAGTAGCCAACTTTGACGAGAAATATTTTTAAATTGTCATAATTTCTTTTTTTATTTAATGAAAATTATTATTAATTAAATGTACATACGAGTATCTTTGTTATTATATTTTCGTTTTTATCTTCTTAATGTAGTTCTGAAGCTTTTAGTTCTTAGTTCTGAGTGAGAGATTTTGAACAGCTCGTTATTAGCACGGTAGAGCCTCTTGCTAGGTCGCGTGTTGTTGAAGTATTGTGTGGGACATCAAATTTATTTTATTTTGATTAAAAATTTAGTAAAATGAGTAGATTTTTCGCTACTGGATCGGACTCTGAGTCTGAAACCTCTTCTGAAGAGGAGCAGATTGTGAAACAAACTGCCACTTTTACGGTACGTATATTTACAGTTTGCAGATGTTGAGGCATTCTTGTTTTTTATTAATTAATAGATCTGTTTTATTAATAACATAATACTGTAATGCTAGTTTTATTAAGCTATTGTGCATAGTCTTTTATACGGCTAATCAAATTTTAATATCCTCTGAAGGTTTTAATAAAATTATTTCTTTTCATATGATTTGAAAACATAGAAATCACTTAGTGAATTTTGTTTTATGTTCTTTATAGTTCAGTGATGATGAAGAAGATACAAAAAGGGTGGTTCGCTCAGCAAAAGAAAAGCGCTATGAAGAACTTACCAATCTTATCAAGCAGATTCGAAATTTCAAAAAGATCAAAGACATGAGCAGTATGTTAAATAGTAAGTGACCCAAATATGTTTATATATAATTTTGTTATAGTTCTCAGATATAGTTTATTTGATATTTTAGTTTTCTTATTGCTATGCAGTTCAATGAATAAGTAATGCAATGGTATTTACAATATACATGTTATGAAGTTTTAAAACCATTAGGGGTAGTCATATCCCCCCGAAATTTCTGAGACAAAAGTTATGAAGGAAAAGAAACTTTATCAAAAAGTATGCACTTGATTGTACCCATGATAATTAGAAAGATTACTAAATTACCTACAGAACAAAAACAAAAAAAGAACGGACTCTTATTAACAAAGATACAGTCCATTAATTTTGGTATACTTAATAATGTCTTCCTGTTTAAAGATATTGCATTTAGGAGTAGAATAGTTTACTATACTTTCCTGGCTGATATATTAACTTAATTATTTCTTAAAGACATTTGTTTGTTCTTACATTTTATTTTTTTTATAATTTAGAAAATCCTATGATAGGGGCATTATTTTGTCTTTATTATCTTTCGAGACAGCTTTTAAAAATAGGTCTTAGCAAAACAATTTGTACTAATATTTTTGTCTAATATATTTAATAGAATATTGTAATCAACCAAGGAAAAATATTAATTCCTTCCTTACATAATAAATAGGAACTACTTATTTTCATATTATTTTGCTATTTCTTCACTAAACAAAATTTTCTGCGAATTATTCACATGGGCCAACTAGTATTACATATTTTTAATTTGTTTTTAAAAGTTTGAGATAATCAGATGAACTCTAAATTCTCCGATTCTTCAAATTTGCTGCCGGAAATGTGATAAAATCTTAATATAAAAATGGAAGGGTGCACTTGAATAAATCATGAAATCCTAGGCTATGTTGCTACACATAATTATCTTTGAATTTAAACTAAAGTTTCAATAATAGCGACATAAGACATGCTCCAATACTTGCGCTTCCTCTTCTGGTGCTTATTTCAGTCATCTAATCGACTATTTTTTTTAATTGATTTCAGTTTTCATATATATAGATAAATTGTTATTAATTTTTATTTTATTTTTTCTCTTTGAAATATTGAGGAGACGGGTGCGAAACAATTTACTCGCCCCCTCTCTATATTTGTTCGGAGGTGCAATTGCCCCCCTCTTCCTCAGAAGTCTATGCCTATGGCTATGTTGAATGTTATTAGGTGATATTAATTTATTTCTTTTAAATCAGGTTTTGAAGATTTAATGAGAGCTTATCAAAAAGCCCAACCAGTTATCAATAAGGAAGAGAATGGTCAAACTCCGAAGTTTTATCTGCGTTGTCTTGTTGAGGTGGAAGATTTCATCAATGAAATGTGGGAAGATAGAGAGGGAAGGTAAGCAGATATTTTCACAGCATTACAAGAAATAATTTTATTACTTTTTTCAAAAATAACACTACTTATTGTATCTTCTGAATTAAGTATTATACTATAAAAGTTCTGTTATCCTATTTCATTTCCAAAAAAAGTTTTTTATTCTTATCTCAGTTTATGATACTTGATTAATGTTAACCAAGAATTAACTATTTTTTTTCTTCTTTCATTAATGTACTATATAAATTAAACATGTTTTCAGTTCTAATATTAATCTGAATTCCTTATATTATTTGTGTTCAATTGTGGGTCCCATATAAGGATTGATTTGATCAATATTTAAATTTTTATTATAAGGTTTACGAGATAAACTTAAATTAATTTTTTTTTTGTTTTAGGAAAAATATGTCAAAAAATAATTCCAAATCACTCGCTTCACTACGACAGAAATTGCGAAAGTACAACAAAGATTTTGAGGAAGATATTTCTAAATTCAGAGAAAATCCAGATGCTGGAGATGAAGAGGAAGAACAACCTAAAGGTATGGTATCGCAAATATCAATTTTTGAAAATTTACTTTTTAGGCTCTGGATTATTTATTCATTTTGTGTTTCTATTTAGAAGTAGAAGATGATTCCGAAGATGAAGAGGCCGGGCCACCGTCGTACGATAGACGTGTAATTTCTGGAGGCAGTGGTCCAGAGTCTAAGCCAACTAAGGTATATATTTTTTTTAATATCATTAATTAAGGAATTTATTTGATAATAATTTTGCTTCCTCGCCATTTGAAATTGAAGATAATTTTTGACTGCAGAATCATTAAGTTCCCCTTACAATTTATATTTTAGGCATCTAAGATAAAATTCACGGTCTGTGTGTCCACCCGTAGTAAAATTGTGACAGGCATAAATGTACTGGCGTAAATGCACCAGTGGTTGACATGCTTCAGGAAATTTCTTTGGAATTTTACGTGTAAAAACTTAAATATTGATGTTATTATATTTTTCTGAGATTCATCTTAAAAAACTATTTCTCACCTTACCAAGACATATTTCATATCAATGGAACATCTATATAAATTTTACAAAATTGTAAATTTATAGTATAGTTTTGTTGCACATGTAGCTGACAGGAATGATAACAGGGCTGTAATTATTCAGAATAAAGTGTTGAAATTTTATATTCTTCATTTTAAAATAGAACTTAACAAAAATTATCTTCATTAATTCTAACTTAATTTTGTTTCCCGGCTTAAATAAATGCAATAACTGCTGGTCCCTGTCAAAAATCTGTTTTTGGTAATAAGAAAACCTATTTTTGCTTTATATTTAATCCAAATCATCAACATTTTTTTTTTTTTAATGAGAGAGTAATAAATAATCCCATTTTTAAGACTCGTTATATTCAGTATATCTCTTTGAATTTATGAGAATACAGGTCTGTCAGCTATTGACAAAATGCTCCATTATATGGCTCAAGTAGCTGACATCCATTAAATTTCCAATTCTTTCATCAAGTTAATTTAATAAATGATAAAACATAATCTAAAAACACTCCAAGAAATAATGAAACATAAATGTTGGGATAGATCAAAATAGTTAAACAGAAAAAGGGAAACTTAAAGTATAGTTTCCTTTCTGATAGATGGTTGATATATATATAATACAAACATATGAAAATAAAATAATATAAGTAAACAAAATCATTTTTGGGAGAACTTAAAAAGCTTTCTTATCTAATTTTTTTAATCAGTCGGGTTGGGAAAGAAGTAGGTGCTTGAAAAGGAGAGATTTAAATGAGGAAACTGATTGCGCATGTCGGATATCGGGAAGGATGGTATTCCAGATGGAGACGGCTTGAATTATAAAGGATTTGTCAAACACTTTGCTTTATTTGCGCTGCGATTTGCTTCATTGAATCAGGAATTTTTGAAGTGAAAACTTCTTTAGGCTTTTTTTTACTATTTTGGCAGAGAGTGAATTGGATTAAGCAGTCAGATCTCCGATGTATAATGCTCAGGTAAAGTCAGTTGGAATTGAAAACTTGAAGTGTTTTTTTTTTATATGGATTAAAATATCTTAGAAACTAAAAATCGGATCTGCATACTATAAGCAAGGGAATTGTTCAGCATTTCATCCTCTCTTTAATGGGCTATTATTCAAAGTTGTATCTTTAGGCGACGTCGTGTTAGAGAGGAGAACAGGAAAAAATAGTGTTGAAAATCAAATGATAACAGTTTTATAGAAGATATGAATTAAAATATCCTCATAAACCAAAAATCGGACCTGCTTACTGTAAGCTAGAGAACTGTTCAGCGTTTCATCATCTTTATAATGAGCTATTATTTTAATTTATGTATTTTATTATTAATCTCGCCTTGTTGATTTTTTCACTTCTATCGTGTGGTCTAAAGCACACACCTTAGTTGGTCTTTGTATAAGTCTTTCTTGTAAATTGGTTAACTGTCTAGGAAGATTAGGATATAACAATTAAAACGCAATAAGTCCTGAATTTAATTATGTCTTTAGGTGATTGCCATTAAAGAAAATTGGTTTAGAGCATAGCTTGGATCAAGTACATGGCTGTGTCATGGTCTGCCATCGCCTAGCTCATACCGCTGTTTAGCATAGAATATAGTTGCCAGCTTGAAAACGTTCATTCAAGAAATATCTTTGCATTTTACTCTCATCCTGTCATTTAGAATAAAAATATTTAGTTTAAATTGTATTCACTATTGTACGGACATTTACTAGTCAGTATAGCAAATAATAATGTATTAGGAATTGTTTCATTTGTCATTGTATAACCGTCTAAACTTTCTGGTTTACTTACCCTTCTTTGGTCCGAATAGTCATATATTCATGCAATACTTTATTTTCAAAAACCTTAAGATGCTGCCTTATGTACGATGTTATCCCTTAATGTAAGTGGCCAGGTTTCGCATCCATAAAGAACCTTAGATAGGATAATGGTTTTATATATTCTAGTTTCTAAGTTTCGAGTTATAATTTATACAATTTTTTTCCATGCTAGTACCCTATGGTTTGTTAATCAAATAGTAATCAAGATTGGTTGTTGGTCCTAAGGAAATCTATTTTAGATAATTGTATCATAGTATATTTATAGCGATATAGAAGTTAGTAGACCTATTATATTTAATTTAATTTATTATCATTTAATTTAATATAATTATTATCTTTATTCTGAAATTTTAGGTCATACCTGATGATGAAGGTAGTGATGATGATTCCATCGACTGGGGCAGTGGTTCAGAGTCTAGTTCGGAATCGAGTGATGATGAAGGACAGTACCAATCGATCAGAGAAAGATTTTTGAAAAAGTAAGCCGATTAACTGTTTTAGTCTTTAAAAATTGAACCATTATTTAAAAATTGATTTTTTTTTTTACCTAAAAACGTTTTTACTTCTTCTTGCCATAGAACAACAGATCGAGAAGAAGAAGAAAAAAAAGAAAAGAAGAAGGAAAGAAAAGAAAAAGAGAGGAAAAAGAAGAAGGATGAAGAGGAAGATGGTGAAGGAGAGTGGGAGACTGTGAAGGGAGGAGTCGCAATTCCATCCGTAAGTTTAGCCAATTTGTTTCTTAAACTGATATATACATGAAGTGTTCCTTTCATTCCTTTAAAGATTCTTAACTCGAGAATGTGTTATCATTAATATTTTTAATTATTTACAGTTATAAAACAGCTTTTCTATTTATTATTAAAGCTTCCTGTTCACAGTACTGTTATTTATGTATTAGAAAATTGTGATATCTTCCATTCATGGTTAAAATTTTCTTGAAGAGAAGTTGGTTAAGGTTGTCAGTCAATGAAAATACGAAGTAAAAATAAATAAATTATATTTATTTTTATTTTCTTTGTGACAACATTTTAGCCCTAGTTTTAGTTCATCACGGCTAAACAAAGACGAGATATAAACAACATATAATATAAATATTGAGGAAATAATAGTAGATAATCAAATAAAAGTAAAAATATGTAGGTAGAAATGTAGTATGTATGTAAAAATGCAGTATCTAAAATTAGTAAAAATGTATATGTATGTAGGTTTTTTACCAACATATTTTTACTGTTACTGTCTAATATTTCCTGAATATTTATATTATATGTTATTTTGTCTTTGCTTAGTCCTGATGAAGACCTGAAACTTAGGCCGAAACATTGGCAAAAAGGAAATAAAAATAAATATAATTTATTTATTTTTACTTAGTGCTTTCATTGACTGAAAATCTCAACCAACTTCTCTTCAATATATCTTTTACAGTAAAAAATTCTTCACTATCTGAAAATTTCTTCTTTATACAAGGGTCAAGAACCGTAGGTACTCTATTTTAAAATAAATGTTTGATTTAATTTTTGAAATAATGATCAGGAAATTATAGAATAATATCTATTTATTTACTGATTACTTTTTAAACCAAAAGGTTATTAAAGTATTTGTATACAAACAAATTGTACTACCATTTGGCTGTTCTTTGATTACATGAATCACTATGGCTTTTGTTAAATCGTTTTGACTTATTTTTTGTTGATTCAATTTGTCAACAATAACAATAATTTTTAGTATACGTAATATGTCTGTTCTGGTTTTACCATGATTTACATATAATCTCGAGTTGAAACAAAGCAAAATTAATTTGTACACATAAAATAGTTGGTCAGCGGTTACGATTAAAGCCACACATAATATAATATAAATACATTTGCAGGTAATAAAATCTCACTTATTATATTACATACGTGACTTTTGACCATATCCTAAAGTAATGTATTGTTTTTATTGGGGACTAATATATAAAGTAATTATCACTCTACAATTAAGATATTTAATCTATACTGTTTTATATCTTCACAGGAAAAACCAAAGATGTTTGCTAAAGATGCTGAAATTGACATGAATCTGGTTCTTAAGAAATTGAGTGAAATAGTTGCTGCTCGTGGTAAAAAACGAACGGATCGTCGGGAACAGATTGAACTTTTACACGAACTCGCCAGTGTTGCCGATGCCCATCATCTTGGACCAGCCATCAGTACTAAAATACGACTTGCTATAATTTCTTCCATTTTCGACTACAATCCCAAAGTGTCCGATGCCATGAAACCAGAATATTGGTCCAAGTAAGTTCTTAAATTTTATAACTTATTACTTTATTTTTACATTGTAATATATAGACTCACTACTCTTTATCTAATTATTTTCCTTAGTAATTAGATATAAACATTACTAATGATCAAATATAAAAGCAAATTAAACATTATTAGCTTGTTGTTTGCTTTTAATGAGTTAAGTTTCAAAAGATTAAATTGCTTTCGTTTATAGTTTGATGTATGGTGTGAGTTTAAAAATTGTAATTTCCTAAAGTTTTAATAAGAAAACTGTAACAGAGAGGATTCATTGATACATTATATATATATATTATTATTTATTCTTGCTGTTTAAATTTTAGTTTTCTTTTTTGTACAGGCTCTTGGACAGGATATCGGAAGCTTTGGATTTGTTACTCGCTACGGGCGATATAGTCATTGGCGAAAACATAACGGAAGAAACTGAAGTTTTCGACAAAGCACCGTATCGTGTCCGTGGGTGTGCCCTCACTATTGTCGAGAGATTAGATGAAGAGTTCACCAAGCTCTTGAAAGAATGTGATCCGCACTCAAACGAATATGTTCAAAGGTAAAATACATATTCATCTTGTTATTATTGTCTTAAATTTGACTGTTTAAAAGAACTCAATCTGATAATGTACCATCATTTTTTTAAGACTGACTGATGAGAAACGTGTTTGTGCCATTGTTGATAAGGTTCAACAGTTTTTGGAAAAACAAGGCAATCCATCAGACCTTTGTAGGATCTATCTTAGGAAAGTTGAGCATCTTTATTACAAATTTGATCCTTTGGTTATCAAACAGAAAAAGGTAAAGTTTTATATTTATTATTCTCATTATTTTATATTAGAATTAAGTAAACTGTGATTGCACTTTTGTAATTTATTTATACAATTAAAGAGGCATATAACATTTCTTCTTAATTTTTCTTTTGGTTAGGGAGTTCCATGTTTCTATAAAGTAGTTGACAATTTAATTTCCTATAAAATATATAATCCGTGGTACAGCAGACACCTCTTTATCAAATTTTTAACTCCTCCTTAAGCTTCGGAATAGCTTTGTCTCATTGTAGCCAAAAACTTTTTTATTTACGAAAATTCTCGAAATTGGGGCGTTTTAAAGATGGAGATCGGCAAACTTTGTCAATTTAATTAGGTATTAAAAACTCATAAACACCCATTTGCTTTCCACTTGAATCATAAGGTAATTTGATCTCAAAATCAGGAAGAAAAAAAGATGGCCTACAAAAATATTGGCCCCCAACGTGTCAAAATAATGAGGTTATATAGGCCAAATGCTCCAATATTTTTGTAGTACACTTTTTTTTTTTTTTGTAATTTGGGGGTCAAATTATCTTACGATTCGAGTAGAAAGCAAATCGGTATTTATGAGCCATTAGTACCTAATTACATTAATTAATTTAATGAGAAAACACTCTATTTCTGAAATTTTCTTTGAAAATAAATTTTTAGGTTATGATGAGACAAAGCCATTCATGAAGTTTCAGGTGGAAGTTAATAATTTAATAAAACGGGGTTGTACCGTGGACTACTATGTATTAATAAAATATATAACCACAGTGATACAATGATTAACTGATATTGTAATTTTTTTTTTTTTTTGAGCGCACATTTACTAGTTGTATTTTTTTTATAATACAGTTGTAAATATCAAAGAATAAAAAAATAAATAATTTATTTTTGATGACATTGATGATTCGTTCTCTAAATCAGATGCATGGTCATAACACATTGAAAATGTACCTGAATCATAATTAAAAAATTATTGTATGATCAAATAAAGTGTTTAGAAGGTGAAATCAAACAATTCTTGAAGGAAGTTAGTCGACTGTTCTACATATCATGGGTGATAAATATTCAGGACGCAGTATTTTTAAATTTTTTATTTATGCCAACGTTTCAACCCAAACATGTGGGTCATCTTCAGGGCGTGGTTTGAGCATTGAGGGTGTTCAAGTACTGGAGTACTCTCAAGTACTCAGTAGTGCTCAAACCACGCCCTGAAGATGATCCACATGTTTGGGTTGAAACATTGGTATAAATAAAAAATTTAAAAAGACTGCGTCCTGAATATTTATCACCCATGAAATCAAACAATGTAAATAATGAAAAATTACACTTTTTAAATTCATTATATATGGCACTCTGCTTCTTAAAAGATATTTTCAAAATGTTTACACCAAGTTGCTGATGCGTTATTATTGGATTATTCACTTATTTGATTATTAATAGCGGAACCTACATCATACAAATATTAACTATACTTACAGTAATTGTATAGCGTCAATATTTGTCATTGGACCTACTAGATGAAAAAATGTGTGGTATATTTTAAAATGATATACTCCATTCTATATTGTTTCCAAGATTCAGAGCAAACGATGAATTTTAGCTAAAATATTTTTAAAAAATCCTTATCATCATTTGTCAAAAGGAGTGACCAATGAAGAAAGTCTCTATTTAATAAATATTAAAAAGTCAATAATAGCAAAATTAAGAGAAAATACGTAGTTGATTTAAAAAACATATCTTATTATATAATCTGATATTTAAGAGCATTCATAAACAATTTGTAGATTTTGAATATATTTTTGAGGTTTTAACAGAATAAAAATGTGATATGAAAAGTTTTTATGTTTCTTTAGTAAGATTTATTTATTCCAAATCCAAGATTTTATCTATAATTTAAGGTTTCTTGTTTTTAAATTAAAATAAACCTGTATATTAAAAAAAAAAAAAAAAGTAGAGCAAATTATTCTGAATATTATGTTTTTTTTGTATTTATTCATTATAAACTTGGTTTTAGGGTGAACTCGATGCCAATCTAACGACAAGTATACAGATTATGGATAAATTGTGTAAGTATATTTACGATAAGGACGTTACCGACAGGCTGAGGACGAGAGCCATCTTGGCTCACGTCTACCACCATGCCCTCCACGACCACTGGTTCCAGGCGAGGGACCTCATTCTCATGTCTCATTTGCAAGAGTCGATTCAGCACTCGGATCCTTCCACGCAGGTTAGTTTTATATTTTTATTATTGAAAAAATATTATTAAATTAAAGCTGTAGCTGCAAGAAATGCATTGGGGATAGATAAGATCCTAAAGCGAGTCTTGAGAAAGTATAAGGCTAAGATTTTTAGAAACTTTTTGAAACTATCTATGCTGCCCTGCAACTCTTTCCAGAATTTTTCCTAAACTAGAGAGCTGGGTATTTTAGTGAATAATGCACTGTTCTCCAATGATCCAGAATCCTATGTTCGAGTCCGCTAGTGGCAGGTTAATATTTATTCTGTTATATCAGCTGTTGATCGACACTGGGGCACACCGAGCCTCTATAACGTGGTCGCTCTTTATTATATAATTACAGAAGGGGGAAAAGTACTGAACTCAAACACTCTATGGATTGTAGAGGTTCAGCTAGACTAGTCAGTATGTCTTTTTGTATTTTATTATTTGCAGAAAATATTTGATCTCAAACTAGACTATGGCAAAGCTGACAGAAGGGAACATAAATATAATAGTATTATATTAATTTATGTATAGATCGGAATAGGATTTTGTAAGTATATTCTTGAGATCAAATGAAATCATTAAAACTTCTTGCAGCTCACAGCCTCAATTGATTATTATAAAATACCAGGCCACATTTTAAATTAATCAATTTAAATATTTCAAACAAATCATCAGTTTATTGCAAAGTATTTTTGATATAGGTTAAATTTCAAATATGTTTTTGTGAATTTCGAACTTTTTATCAACACAAATAAATCATAAGTGCATGAAAATGACACGGATCTTTTTATTTATCATACTTAGTTACATTATGTACAAAATTTTCTTATTTCACAATGAGAAAATTCATCATTTTTCTGAATTATTTGAGGTTGTGAAACATCGCTTAATGATTTTTTTGCCATAAACTGACGATATCTAATACATTCCATATTTCAAACAATTCTAGTGCATTCCTTGGGCAAGAGATTTATTAGAATAAATTCTCTTTAACTTAAATTAATTCTTAAAACAAAATGATAAATGTAAAATATTAAATCCTTAACTTTAATATATGCCTATTTGTATATGAAATATCAAATAAAATGAAAAATAAGTTTTTAACTTTAATTAAAATTTAACATAAAAAGCAACAAAATCTGTTTTCCCGTTCAAAAAATGTTCATGGCACCGGCATATAGAGTGTCCTTACCGGGTAAGAAATGATTCTAATTAGTTGATTTTGAAACAAAATGGTGGGTAATAATGTCGAATTCCAATGGTCATCTTCAGGTGACTTCTAACTTTGTTGCTGAATCTCAAAAAAATCATTCCATTAATCTTGGAGAATAGTACGGTGGATAGATGGCTTTTAATTTTTCGTAAATCTCAAATTTTGATTTGAATTTAAATTTTTTTTTCGTGGACGATTACATAGGTTTATTATTAAAAATAATAAACCAACAAATGTGCTTATTTTACCTTTTGATAACAATTTTATTTTTTCTGCCTTAGATCTTGTATAATCGCACTATGGCACACTTAGGGCTGTGCGCATTCCGTCACGCTAACATCAAAGATGCTCACAACTGCTTGGTCGATTTGATGATGACCGGAAAGACTAAAGAACTGCTCGCTCAAGGTTTGATGCCTCAGGTATGTTAGCTTTTGCCTTTCAATTTTAAGAAAGAAAAATTGTATTATTAAATATTTCTGTTAAACTAACAATAATTTATTATTTCAGCGCCAGCACGAAAGGAGCAAAGAGCAAGAAAAGGTGGAAAAACAAAGGCAGATGCCATTCCATATGCATATCAATTTAGAATTGATTGAATGTGTATACCTCGTTTCTGCCATGTTGATCGAGATACCGTATATGGCGGGTAAATATTAATACAGTTTATTTACAATTAAAAGTTCTTGAATGGTGTACTCTGTTCATTGTTTTTCATTGATTTTTCTTCTTCTTTTATTTAGCTCATGAATTTGATGCTCGGAGAAGAATGATCTCAAAAACATTCTACCAGCAGCTGAGATCTAGCGAGAGGCAGAGCTTGGTCGGACCACCGGAATCCATGAGAGAGCATGTCGTCGCTGCAAGTAAGGCCATGAGGAACGGAAATTGGAAAGCCTGTGCTGATTACATTATCAATGATAAGATGTCGGCTAAGGTATGTCAATTTTGTTTTAAATTTATTAAATTATATTGGAAATTAAAATAATAACATAGTTATCTGACTTATGTTGCAATTACGTATCTAATTAATAATGGGCATGGTATATACAGATCAAGAAAACATGAAATGGTCTGGGATTTTATATACACCATAAAGAATTTTGCAAGCTACTAGGGTGTTGTTATGATTTAGAATTATTATAAGTCATAAAAAGTGTGACCTACAAAAAAATATTAGGTACCTCCATCTCCAACATGTTAAAAGACTATATTTGGGTACAACGATATAATATTTTTATTGGCTTTTACATAAGTTATCATTTTACATAATTGGTAATATTCTACCAATCATGTATAATAATTGTTGATAAAGATCAGTTAATATACAACAAATGTGTGTCTTTTTTATAGGGTACATAAGAAAAGACATGTATACAGCTGTACTTTACTAAGATTATAAATTTATTTAAAACTTGACAGAATAATCCAATAAAAACACATCTTATAAATAAATTTCATTAAGTATAATTTTTAAATGCAAACTGATGGTATGATACCAGACCATTTTTACATAATACCCTAAATTTCCTCCAACTTTAGGTCTTACCGGATCAGCTGTTTTTGATTTATAGGCATAGAAAGGAAAATAGTTTTGCACAGACATAAGTGAAAAATCTTAAGCCTATAAATTATTTTAAGGTGGTATAAGTTCCAGGATTAATACATAATTAATTCAACATAGACTTATTTAGAGTAAGCACACCAGTGATGGACATGGCTAAGGAAATGCTTGGCTTATGCCGCCATAATTATTATAGTTATAAAATTTTCCGCTGGACATTTAGAATCTCGAAGTTCTCCTTTTTCTATTTAACACTTTAAAATTGAAAAATATTCAGTCATGCAGGTATAATCACCATTTAAAAAAACACCTTTTTTTTGCACTAGTGATGGACACCCTGAAATCCAATTATTCTAGTAATGGACAGGCGGTCGGTACCAGTAATTGACATATCTCAGAAAAATCCTAAAATCTTTATTTAACTATGAAGATAACAATAAAGATGACATAAATGTTCCAAAACTGTTTGTAGAAAGATATGAAACACTAATCTGAATAGCATTATAGAAACAACAATGATATGCATTCTAAAATTTTCTTTTGGGAACTTTTTTCATACAGTTGTTAATACAGGACATTGATTGTTCTTCAATTTGAAAAAATTGGAACCTTTAAATGAACAAAGAAGCTTATTATTTACATTAAAAGTCCAACTTGTCCATAATTGGTACGTTTACCCTATTTATTATTAAAATTGGTTTAATTTTATTCTCATATTGAATTTCTAGGTGTGGGATCTTTTCTTCGAAGCTGATAAGGTGAGATCGATGCTTATCAGGCTCATAAAGGAAGAGTCTTTGAGGACTTACCTCTTTACTTATTCTCACGTCTACGCTTCCATCTCCATGGTGACACTAGGCAAAATGTTTGAGCTGGAGAAACCAGTTGTTCACTCCATTATCAGTAAAATGATAATTAATGAGGAACTAATGGTGAGTTATTTCAACTCGGTTGAATTTTCCTTTTTTCCATTCATAATTTTTATAGGTTGATTCGCTAATTTATATTTAATATTTTCCTTCCAGGCCTCATTGGATGATCCATCGCAGACTGTAGTGATGCACAGGAGCGAACCTTCACGACTCCAGTCTTTAGCCCTCCAATTAGCTGATAAAGTTAATAATTTGGTTGATTCAAACGAGAGGATATTTGAGATGAAGCAAGGTAATAAAACAAATTATTATTACATACTGTTACTATTTTTTACCATGTTTGTTGCCAAATATTAATTTGATTTGGCAATGGGTCTCTTTTATTAAATTTTTGTCCAGATTCTCTGGTCCCCTTTTTTTTTATTTTCATGAACAAAACATTCAATCTATCCTTTCTATCTTATTATTTATTATACTACCATTATTATTATTTTTTTTTTTTTTTGTTATTTGGATTATTAAATTGTTTAGAGAACCAAAGTTTGTATTACTGACATTGAACTTTATTTGCTTTAAAAGATGAAAAATTATTTAACACTTTGTTGTTGGGGCTATATGAATTAAAAATATAATTTTTTACAAACCATGTTAACATTGTTATACAATTTTTGTAGATTTGTGGTATATAAAGCAATGCAGGTTATTAAAGTTTTTCATTACTCTTTCTCACACATTGTATTAGGAAGTACAAAAAAGGTGTCACAGACAGAAAGAACCGGGAAAAGCCTGCCTTCACTGCTTTGTTACATATTTGGATTTGCTGACAAATCGTTGAATGTTTTCCAGGTTTTTAGTTTACATTTTGTTGTTTTTATTCTTGGGTCTCCCAAATATTGTAATAATCAACTCATTCCTTATAGAGCTCTTTTTTTATATCTATATAGAGGAAAAACATAAAATTTTCAATTTAAAGCTCAATCAAAACATTTCCCTAAAATGAAGCAAATATAGTTTCAACGCTTAAATAACAAATTGCACAATTGGAAACAGTTGATAAGCCACAGTTATATGTTATGAATGTTTTGCCTTCTCTTCGGTCCTACCTATGAAATCTACTAAAATCAACATTTTATGAAATTTATGTATATATTGTTTAGTACATTTCCTTTGAATAGTGAACAAACATTTTTGAACCAAATTATTTTTAGTTCATACAAGAATTATTTTTAATTATTACAAATTATTTCTCAGGTTGGGTTTGGGACAACAAACATACATTCCTCACTTATATAATATAAAAGCATACATTAAATTTATATACAACATTTATGGACTTCCATTCAGTTTTGTCGGGATATACTTTTGGCGCGCTTTCTTATTGTCACTATTTAATTTGTACTCACCCTGTTCTGTAGTGAATCTTCCTCCAATTGTTGTTGAAGCTATTGTTGTATTCATCTTCTACAGATGTCTTCTCTTAATATTTTATTTTCCTGTATACTACTTGGCGACCTCTCTAGTCTCGATCCTCTTTTCTCCCGGCTGGTTATCTTCTCATTACATATGGCACTTGCTTCCCCTTCCATCTGTCTTTCTTCACTTCTTTATCCGTTTTTGACAGTAGTTCATGGCATCACTGCTTTCATGCCTCTATTTAAAATTCTATTGACCCATTAAGTTCATTATGTAATATTAACATTACAATTTATGTATATAAGAAGAAACTGATTAATAATTAGTTTTCTTGGGTAATTTTGTTTTCCTAGAATCTCGTTATGAGTATTAAGTCTGTGCCAGAATAATCTTTTCACAGTATTTAGTGATGAATTTTTCCTTCTTTTGAATTCTTCCTAAGTGCAGGATACCCATGGTTTTCGATGTCAAAAATTGATATTCTAGTATTTGGGCCATACTCAAGTTTGGTTTGAATTATATATAATTTTTATTAATCATTTTTTGTGATAACTAATTTATTAATAAATATTTTTGAATATTGTTAAGAAAATTTTTTATTGCATTTCATTTAAGATAAAGAATCTTACTGACAGACTCTCCTTGACACTTAGTACAAAGATACAAACAAAAATAAATTAATAGATTATTGGTAAAATAAAAATAATAATGGTAAGTTGTATTAAATCCAGTTCCAGCCAGAAGGCACCACCCAAAATATGTGTTATGAACAAAAATCTTCTTTAATGGTATTTGATGTTTTGTTTTAAAAACACTTTATTTTTTCTCCGTTAACAGGTAGCTTTTTCCTTCGTGGAGGAAACCAAGGCACATTCAGGCAGAACTACAGTCGACCTGGTCAGGATTGGGGAAGAAACAGGAGAGAAAGGGAACAGCAGAGGGCGTACTAGAAACGAAAATTTTCTTAGATTAATTTGGCATATCCTCAAAATATATTTAAAAGAAAAAAAACAGTTAAAGAACATTTTTTGTAAAACATTGTTAAATTTATTCATGTTTTCTATATATTAAGACCTCAATCATTGTTTTGTTTTGACTGGATAATTATCTTTTTAAATTCATTATTTTATAGTTTTTAGACAGTATTTGAGAACCATTCCTTTGGTGCAGTGTTCTGTATATTGATCTAATGAAAAAACTACCACATGAATGTTTATTCAATTTATATATATTTTTTGTTTATTAAAATGGAATAATCTGTCTATATTTTATTGTTTTGTCCTTGTACCTTTTCTTTTTAAACATTTCAGATATAAAAAAGCTTTGTTTAAATTTATCAATAACTGGTTAAATTAATTTTAGTCTTCGAATAATAATAAAAGACTAATTGGTGCTATAAAGCAACCTCAAGTTGAAGCCTTCGAAAATTCCGATTTATAAAGCTCTTCTCTGACCTGTGCTGACTTGTGGATCAGTAACATGGATTCTCGCTAAACCTCAAGAAGCTTCATTACTACGTGTGGAAAGAAAATTTCTGAGAAGAATTTATAGACCATTTTTTCAAAACGGCATTTGGAGGACAAACGTAGAGCTAAAAGCAATGTATAAAGGCGTTGATGTAATTCAACACATCAAATTAGGAAGGCTATGCTGGGCAGGACACGTGAGGAAGGGAGACAAAGTGTTCTGGGAGCAAATGTTTAGAGTTTGTCACAAAGGTAGACTCCACAGCTTTGCTGGGTTGAATATGTCATTTCAGATGCTCAAGCTATACTAGAGTAATTGAAAGGCAGCTGCAGTCGATAGAGAAAACTGGTGATATATGATGAAGTAGGCCAAAACTCAACTTAGTAGGTTTCAGAACGGATAGATAAAAAAAATAATGAAAGAATCTTGTTTTCATATAATTTTATAGACAGTCATTTGAAGTTTTATTTCAAATTATTATCTCTTTTTCCTTTAGTTATAATTATGAAGTAAGTTTTAAATTACAAGAAGTATTTATTATTGAATTATTTAAAAAATATTTTTTTTACTGTATTACCAATGGTGATAATTCTGTATGGCCTACACCTTAAAAGAAATTTGCAGTGTTGCCAGATTGGGGTTTTCACTCCCAAGGCATGTCTAGGCATAGGTTTTATACCCTTTATGTTTTTTTTTCAGAGAACAAACATTTTTTTTTTTATTTCTTAAAGACATTTACAACTGTATTAAATAAATGCATCTAGTAAATTTGAACATAATGTATATAATGACATGAAAACACTTGCTGAGTAACTACCCAATGGTAGCACTCTAATGATATGTCTACATTAGGAGATCAAAGGGCCATCTTCTTTTCAGACACCTTGGAGGGTTATCAGGAATTGAAGAGGAAGCAAGGTTAGAAACGAGAGGGTTGGGATGATTCTGATTGTGGAAGGATAGGTATCTGGATTGAGCCAGATCTGAAACAAAAGAAACATTAACATCATTATGGATGGTTTTATTTGTAATAAAGTAGGGAGCATTGAGGATTTTACGCCATAGCTCCATAGCTCAACTCCGTAAGTCCAAATAGGCCTTATTATAGTCAAGTATATGAGTATTTTGTAATTAATTGGAAGTTTAGAGCGTTTGTCTAGTAAGAGCTGAAGTAATCGGAATCGTCGAGCGGTTTCTTGTCGTTTCAGTCTAGTATGAGGATTCCAAGTTAGCGGTTTGTCCAGGTGGAGTTCTAGGTATCGGATTTGCTTAACAGGGATAAGTGGAGTATTGTTAAAGGAAACTGTAGGACAGGAAGTCGTTGGTTTACGACGAAGGTAAAGGTAATTTGGTGGGATTTATTGGAGTTTATTTTAATTCTCCAGTTTTGACACCATTCTTCAAGATTTATGATGTGTGATTGAAGCATTTGGGATGCAATTGATGGGTCATTATTTACTGATAGGATACATGTGTCATCGGCGTATGTGGTGATGACAGTTTTGGGATAGGTAGGGATGTCAACTGTATAAACTGTATAGAGGATAGGGCCTAGGATACTACCTTGAGGAACACCAGCTGGGAAAAAACAAACATTTTTAGGCTAAAAAGATTTTGGGAGGGCTATCCTTAACCTGCCTTCTTATTATCCTCCCTACACACCACAGGCAGATCAATGGAGAGAGGGAGGGTTTTCAGGCTTAAGCCCTCCCTCCCCAAAATGTTAAAATGTAACCAAATTTTATGATAAAAAAAATTATCACAAAGTATTATTGTTCCTGTAGTTGCATTAAGGTCGATGGCGCAAGAATCTATTCTCTCCACTCCCAAGATATTTTATTGCTCACCTTTTCTTTAAAACAGAAAAAGTAGAACGAGGAAAAAAAAAATTTCATGGATCCAATCTTCAAAGATGGTATAATTTATTGGTGTTATGCCTGATATTTCTCTCTTCATAACCAAAAAAGCAGCTTGGTCCACGGGCGGATCTACGGGGGGAGGGGGGCTTTCGGGCTGAAGTCCCCCCAAAATGGAAAAATATAACCATGTTTTATGGGATTTTTTTTTTTTTAAATACCTCTTAAAGTATTATTGTTCGTGTAATTAAATTTAATAGAACTTCAAGAACCACTTAAACATCATTTCATATAGGTAGTTAGTTTCTTTCTGTTTTTCCAAAGTAATTATCGTTATTTTTATGAAAAAAAAAGGTTTCGGGCTGAAGCCCCCCCCCAAAATTAAATTCTGGATCCGCTAGTGGCTTGGTCTGCTTTTTCATTGCACATTAAGCCACTATGGGATGGAACCCAGACAAAGACCACACTTACTGATCTTTTTCTCATCTCCCATCATACGTTTAATAGACAGCACAACCAACGCTATTTTCTACTTTGGAGGCGTCCATGCCAAATGACCTTATAACCTTTGTACCTTTCTAGTAATCGAAAGAAATAAGATTGGATTTATAGGAGATAATCTTTGGAATATCGAGTCATCAATATGTCTACAGACGGTCTGCATTTCTTCCAGTAAGGAAATTTGAGATCAGGAATGGGCCTTATTGTGTTCAGATCCATTACATTTAATAGGACTTCAAGAACCACTTAAACACCATTTCATATAGGTAATTAATTTCTTTCTTTTGTTTGTTTAAAGTAATTATCGTTATATATATGAAAAAAAAATCTTCCGGTCTGAAGCTCCCCAAAATTAAATCCTGGATCCGCTAGTGAATTCTGTGATCGGACGAAAACCGGAGTGCTCAATGTGGTATAACCATTAATGAAGGGTTTTTTTTTTTCTCCCGTCTGCTTTTTGGGTTCGACGAGATACCAATTATATTATTATTGTATGAGTTAATTTCGTGTTGAGAAAGATATTGAAGATTGGATGAGGCTTAAGGCGATCTTTAATTATATTTTATTGTATTTTAGCAAGGAGGAAGATTATTCGGCCCTAGTTTCGGAGGGAGGTGCAGTAAATGTTATCGCATTTTAATAAAGATACATACTTTTATCGTTTTGAAGCAATAAGGGCCAAACTACTGAGAGAAACCGTACTCTACATCATCACGGAGGACGACTTCGCTCAGCTAGTAAGTAGGGAACTACCTGTACTACGATGCATTCGTTTACGGGTGGAAGGAAGTAGTCGGGGAGGTTTCTTCAAGGAGGGATCTCTTCAAGGGGGAGGATCTCTTCAACCTCCGCTAACGAAGGCTGAAGAACCTGAAGATAAGTGGTAAAAGTTTCAACTACTTCTACCAAAAACCTGTATCGCTGAGAGGCAAAGGAAGAAGAAGAAAAAAAAATAATACTTTTATCGTTTTTATTATTTTTACCCAGTATTATAACGGGATCATATTTTAATAATGATCCATAAAATTATTCTTGTTTAATATTTACACTTCTATCATAAAAACTGTATAGGTAGGGTAAAGGCAATTATTATTGACACTTGTAACTTAAATTTGATAAAATAAGCGTTCATGTAGGATTTCAAACTTGGCGTCTTTTCAAAGACATTAATCAGCCTTTGAAATGGCGCCAAGTTCAAAATCCTTCATGAACAAATACGCTTATTTTATCAAATTTAAGGCAGAAATGTCAATAATTGGTAATGTGTCAATGATAGGTGCCTTTACCCTAGATCTCTTATAGCCGAGTTTTTAACAAGTATTATGAGATTATATTGAAAAGATTTACGTCAAGATATTTCATCAACTACTGACAAACAAATATACAAATGGTTATTTCACTAAGCTAGTATTTCTGTTTCTTTTTGATATTTTCCATTTGCTGTCAGTATCAAGAGAAATAAAATAAATAGTTTGGTTTAGCGCTAATGTCGCTGTTAATTGAGTTAGATAATGGTGTTTCCCTTAGTTTGTGAAATGTTTAAACTCGGCTTAAAAAAATTATAATAATTGAACAATTATAAAAGATTTAAAAATATACCAAAACTTTGTTTGTTTTCTTTATCTTTATACAGAATTATTTATCTTCATAATATCTAATTGAAAATTAATTTATTAACAGTAATTTCATATTACAGAGAATAATAATAAATATAATAGAATTGGTAATAATCCTGATTGTTTTGAAAAATATTTTAATTAATTATTATATTTAAATATTAATCATTTTTAAATCAATTAATTGATTTAATGTTTTGTATAAATCAACAGGTTTAATAATATATTTCCTGTACATGATTCAGTTGTCCAAGGTTGGTATCTAAAATCTTTTTCTAGTTAATCAGAAATAGTATAATTTTTTGATGTGAAAATAATCTAAAATGTAAGATATTCTTAATAATAAATACTGTATTAATATTTGAATTCGGATAATCCATTTAATTAGAGATGATTTGATTATATTGTGGTAATAGTGTTCAATTTTGGAGCCAATTTCAAGTCACCATTTTTTTTTATAGCATCAAATGAAAGTCCACTGCATTGCACCTATTTCCAGTTTTAAATTGAATTTTTTATTATTTTAGTTTTTTAATTATAATAAATATACTTAGGATTATAATCTTACTGGTAAGATGTGATTGTTTTGATGGAACTATTTGATAAATTAACATATTTTACACTAATGAAAAGTTTTTTTTTTCCTTTTCAATGATGAAAGAAAATCCAGAATTTTGATATCAATATGGACATAATTATGTTATAATAAACTTTTAAATATACATTGATACATGTAAAAATCTTTCTTAACAACTAAAATTCTTATTCAGGATGATTTATTACTGAGTTATGAAATTTCAGGATTTACAATTCTGAGATTAGAGCT